TTTCAGAGTCAGCTATAATTAATGTTGATGAATCAAGTTTTTGTAGATTATGTTTTGTGCCCACAATCATTACTTCAGATTTATCATCATTTAATTTAAGCATATTTGAGGTCATCCAGGTTTTAATTTGCTGTGTACATTTTTCTGTTTTGAGATAGGAATCTGTTTTACTTTCTGGTGGAAAATTATCTATGATTTGCGTGTCATCAGTATACGAATGGTTTGGATGCAGTTATAGCGCCAGGCAGGGTAAGCTTACTCTTCCGGACACCTGTTACCACTGTTTGTCGTGCATTTTGTACACGGTGAAGTCCATTTGCTGATTACACTATTTTGCCAATACCGTTTTTGTAGGACTTCGAATTTTGTCTTATGGTTTGGATTGTCTGTACTTGGTTTTATTTTAATTCGACCGTGTGTCTGTTATCGCTCGTTACTTCAGACAGTTATATAGAAGGATAACTCATGTTTGCCATGTTTGTTGTTACTTTCCGTTTATTCAAGTGTTTGTGACACATCTCCAGTAGCAATGATCTCCGTGTTAAAATTATATTTAGAATGTATTTAACAAGTTCTATCACATATGTAATAATGACTGACACCAATATTGTCCTTTAACGAATATTGTACGAAAAAATTGTGTTTTTAGCCAGTGAACCCTCTAGAGGTCACAATTTTTATTTGATTTTAGTTACAGTTGATATTCAATTTGGTGAAAATCGGACTGACACTTCCGGTCAAAATGTCCGAACCCCTTTACGCAAATAATGTAGTGTAAAAGCATGTAATACCAAGGTTGTGGACTCTCTCATTCGATTTTAATGAAACTTTAAAAATATGTTTATATCCCAAAGATATTGGTTCCTTTTGATATTAACGCATGTCGAACCGCATCAAATTGGATTGCGACCCCTTATTGTACGAGCACGTGCGCGCTGTATCATAAGGTCTGTCATTGAGTCAATTGGCATGGTTTCGATTCCCCGGTTGTACGTGACAAGGAGTAGGATCGCCTGTCCAATCTCGTCGGTTTCCTCCGGTTTCCTCCCACTGCTAAATACCCATACGCACAAGCGAATTATTGAAATAAAGTTGAACCATATGTTAGTCTCGAAATGACCTAGTTTGTGTCGAGTGGACGTTAAACTCTCTCTCTCTCTCTCTCTCTCTCTCCTCCCTCTCTCTCTCCACCCCCTCTCTCTTCCCCTCTCTCTCTCTCGCCCTCTCTCTCTCTCTCTCGCCTTATCTTCCGACCACACCAGGTTTTGCATCATTCAGCATTCAGGTTCAGGGGAGGTGACTGCTGATTGCTTGGTCAAAAATATTAGCAATATATACAATCATAATGAACAACACATGTACTAGTGGTATATTTACTTTACTACAATAAAATTAATTGTTAAAGTATAATCTACGATATATTTATATATTTTAAAATGGAGTTTTGTTTTATTTTCATATTTGATTCTTTAGCATCATCGAATCTGTTATACAACATTTACATGGTTTTCAGTTTAACGGTTTCTGCTAAACAATATAGAAATAAGAGGGAGAGAGGGAGAGAGAGAGAGGGGGAGAGAGAGTATTGGAATGAACTACATTTGTACGTGGTGAAATTAACCATCTCCACCGTGTGTATATATCTACAGTACATGTGATGCAGGTATATATACTAAGCAGCAAAAGAAACGTCAGGTTGGTGTGTTACTCTGAATAGACGCATTGCATAAAACTTGCCAAATGTTTTTCTTGTATATTTGTGACCACATCTCCAACTTTACCTGAGCAATAAGGCTCCTTCCCAAAGACAGAATTGAACCCAGGAAATGTTCTCAAAAACGCAACCTGACTTCTGAGATGGTAATGCTGCAAGTGTTGTTCACCGGGACCAGCCCTATAAAATGCACTCCCATACCTGGTTGAATCATTCACTCTACAACGTCAGCAGCATGCCACGACTCACGACAGCTTCGAGGAACCAGGCGCTTGGAAGACTCGACGCTGGCCACACTGCTCAAGCCGTTGCCAATCGAAAAAAAGAAAAAGAAATGGGGTTTAACGTCCTACTGTTCTGCTGCTAACCTGGGCTAATGAAGACGGGCATACGCCATACAGTGTGCAATGAGGGAAATTTTGCCCGGACAGCGGCACTACGGCCTACTCTTATATCGAATTCCAACTGCCAAGGGATCTTTTACGTGCACGTCAATGTGTACACGGGACCTCGGTTTTTCGTCCCATTCGAACGACTAGACAGCTTTCCTTGTCAGCCCCTCCGTCCTGCATCACTGACAAGGGAGAACCACGCCGGAAAATCTGGATGAACTTTCTCGGCCAATGCAGGGACCGAACACCCGACCTCCAGGCTAGCGAGCTAGCGTCTTACCCACTTAGCCACGTGATCCCCCCGTTGCCAATCACTTCCAGGTCAATGTTCGGACCATCTACAGGCTTCAGCAACGCTTTCGGGCCACCAACACCACGGATGATCGCCCCCGAACTGGTAGACCAAAGGTTACCACAAGACCGCCATGTTGTGCGACAGCACGTGCAGAATCCCTTGACACAGGCATCTGAGACAGCGCGTCAGACAGTGGAAACACACGGAAGACCCATCAGTACCGATATAGTGCGCCGACGTGTCACCAGAGAGAACATCCATTGCCATCGACGTGAACGTCTACAGTTTGCCCAACAACACCAGAATGGCGACAGAGGCAATGGAGAACGGTTCTGTTCAAAGATGAGAGTCGGCATTGCGTATCAATTGCAGATGACAGGACCAGAATATGGCGTCGACGTGGCCGCCAGCGTTATTCTGACCAATGTGTCATGGCACGAGACTCATGGGGAGGTCCAAGCATAATGGTTTGGGATGGAATCGGCCTGGACCAGAGAGTGGGTCATGTAGTGTTCCAAAATCTTGGTCCAGGGAGAGGAGGTGGCATCACAACAGTGCGCTACATCGATCAAGCTCTCAGACCCCACGTCATACCACATTTCGCACGTCATCGAAAGAATGGTTTTCAGAATGACAATTCCCGTGCCCACATCGCCAGAATTACTCGGGACTATCTACCGCAGAACGGTGTCAACGATATGCACTGGCAAACCCTTAGTCCGGACTTAAACCCGATTGAACATCTTTGGGATGAAATTCAGAAGAGACTTAATAACATCGTACCGAGCCCAAACACAGCCGATGGATTGCGCCAGGCTTTTCTGAGCGAGTGTGGTTCCAGGTGCCAATGGCGTTCATCAATCGTCTGGTCCACTCCATGTACAGACTCTGCGCTGCTGTTATTGACACTCGCGGTGGACACACCAGATACTGATAAATACACTGTGTACAGACCCTAAACCTTCTCGTAATGTCTTGGAATTGTGATGAATTAATCACTAATCTGTCAACATACTGTTCACAAAAAATTGCTTTGATCCATTTAGTAAGTCATTTTCTAGAATGATTTGATTAAAGTGCCTCTCTGATTTCGAAATCGTTCTGATGGTTTTTTTTTGCTGTTTAGTATATAATTTATAACATTTTATTTCATTCTAAAATAAACAATAGCTTAAGATATATTTTATATTTGAAATGTTTACATCTATAGATTAAATATGTAAAGAAAATAATATTACAATTTAAAGAGATTGAAACAACACCTTATCACCAAATATTTCTAGGTACAGTATTATAGACAGGTTAAATGATATCCCTCCGTAGATGTTAGTGGATAAAAATTAAATCAAATATTACTGGAGCATACGGGATAAACACTAATGTAGAATTGCTTGATTTAAATAATAACAGGCACTAACGCAATCAAAAGTAATGCATGCTTTAGCTAGACAGAATTTACTTTAGTATTGATCTATTTAAATAAAAATAAGATCATGGGAAATGAAAACTAATGATAATTTTAAGTGAACACAACATTCATTATCACGCTTGGACAATGTGTTTTATATAAGATTATCATTGATGACCTAAGCTATAATGTAAGTCTCATAATAATAAAACAGACAGAATAAGGAAATGTCAGTCCAACTAACGGTTATAAAACGAAATGAAAAAAATGAAATGAAATGGGGTTTAACGTCCTACTGTTCTGCTCCGACTGGGCTAATGAAGACGGGCATGCACCATACAGTGCGCTTTGGGGGAAATTTTACGTGCACGTCAATGTATACACGACTAGACAGCTGTCCTTGTCAGGCCCGTTATAAAACGAATTGGGTTTAATATTGGTTGGTTTACTGTTTAACCCGTCACTGAATGGATGTCATCCACAATATAGGTGACATTAATTCCTAGAAATGTACACCACTCAAATTTTTCAAACTATTATTTAGCGAAAAAAATATGCTTGATATAAACAAAGTAAAATTAATTAATTCAAATAAAAAAAAAATGAAAACAGATAGCACCAAATACAATTTGAAATGAGGAAAAATAAACGCCGATAATATTCAATATAAACTCCCAATTGTCTGGTGTTGATCAAACTCTGGTATTATCTACTCACAAAGAAATCAAATGGAAACAAAATTAACTTTGCTTCAGACCCAGTATTTAAACCGAAAGGTACATAGTGACTTCGTTTTTATTTTGGTATTTTAACATTTCCATGTTTATTCTTATAAAACATGCTATAGCAAAATATAATAGATTGAGCAAAATATAATAGATTTAACAAAATATAATAGATTTAGCAAAATATAATAGATTTAACAAAATATAATAGATTTAACAAAATATAAGTATTTAACAAAACAAAATATAGCTTAACAATACAAAATATAGTGGGTTTAACGAAAAAAAATATATTTAAAATGCGTATAAAACATAATACTTTTAGCAGCAAAATATAATACTTTTTAACAACATATTATAGTTTAAACAAGATGCAATGTTTGTAACAAAATGCAATAGTAATATAATATAATAAACTTGAAATATTTATAAAGTATAATAAACAAAATATAACCATTAAGTTCAGACCTAAGCCCATGTATACATTAAGTAGTATAAACTTTAAATAATAAAGCAAACCTTGTAGCAAACTTAACATACAATTAAAAAGAAAATCCAAAACCAGCTTACGAAAGCAATTAAAAACATTTTGCAATTATCACACTATTACAATAGGATATTATAATTACAATCAACAAGAATTGGCATATGTTGAGAAATGGTCCAGATAATTACCAACAGCATCGAAACAAAATTTCACTTGTTCCTGGAATAATATTAGAGATTAAAATGAAATGTTAGGACACAACTGTGAATTCGGGGGAGTGAAGGAGTGGGGGTGGAGGTAAGAAAACATAATTGGGGCTTGTCAGTCCCCCGATTAAGCTACATACAATGTTTCCACGGCTAAAAGAAATGCAATATCTCGTGGGGGGAGGGGGGTAGTAATACATTAGAAAACAGAATTACTGTTGAACATCATTTTCAAACCTCAAAACCTATTATATCTGTATTAATGTATGAATGATCTCACATTTTCTAACGGACTGGTGGCACTATAAAATATGTCTATTAACAGACTACCAGCCAAAGATAAAATTAAACAATGAGCCTTTTTGGGGTAAACGGGATCTTATCAAATTAAATGTTAGAAGTCAAAATGGAAGCCCCCGATTGTGGACCAAATGAGGTCCTAGAGAATGTGTGTGTATGTTGGGGGCGGGGGCTATTTGTCTCACTTTGTCCCCCACCCGCAAGATATGGTACTGGTCGCGGTCACAATCTTAAACTGAATACTATACTGACCAATATTACCAAAACAAACGGGAAATACATTGATTTGCGTTATTTGATGTAATTTGAAAGGCATGTGCATACTTACATAACAAGTAATAATTTGTGGTCTGGATACTCGGAGCTGTATTATAGTCTGTAACACACTGACGTCTTGTTCTATGGTTAGTCGTTCTAAAATGGCTGCCAGAACACAGAATAGTCCTCCCTTGTTCACTCCATTTCTAAAAAGTAAATTTGCATATTTCCATACTTACAGTTCTTCAATGCTCATGCAATTTAATATTTTTACCTGTTTTAGATATCTGAATCAGAGGACTTTGGTGAAAATTATGTAAATCCATGAAATCAATATGCTTGGGGACTAGAATAAATTCTTTATCCGAGTTCCTGGTTTTTAGAAAGTTTCACAAATAGTTGTTCTCAAAATAAGTGCAGTCACTGCAGTCGGTCTCAAAATAAGTGCAGTCACTGCCGTCGGTCTCAAAATTATGCATCGGTGACTAAATGAATTAATGAGGTAAACGAACAAGGCCAAAATAGAAGGGGGGAAATCCCAAATGCTTAATATATGTATGAATATATCTTTGTATACATGTGATTGCTTTGATTGGATAACACAATACATGTACGTGCTAAAGGGTCAAGTAGTTTCCATGTATGGAGGTTTTAAGACGTTACTATTAAATTAGGCGATATTATAAAGGTCAGTTAGGTCATTTGGGGATGATATTCAATATTAGCAAAGAATTTATAAATCAAGGAAACCTATACATCAGAATTCTACAAAATAGTCCAGGGAATGTGCATCAGTGGGTCTCATCCCCCCCCCCCCGCCCAAACAAAATCGATATGTACGCCCATGGTGTGGTAATGTTGAGAGAAAGGTGTGTGTGTGTGTGTGTTAGGGCGGTGGGAGTAGGTTCACAATATACTGCATTTGTCCCGATTTTCCGTATTCTTTTATAAATCAAGGAAACCTATACATCAGAATTCTACAAAATAGTCCAGGGAATGTGCATCAGTGGGTCTCATCCCCCTCCCCGCCCAAACAAAATCGATATGTACGCCCATGGTGTGGTAATGTTGAGAGAAAGGTGTGTGTGTGTGTGTGTATGTGTTAGGGCGGTGGGAGTAGGTTCACAATATACTGCATTTGTCCCGATTATCCGTATTCTTTTCAAAAGATCGAAATGTGAGTTATCTCCCTTTTAACTTTCAGGTATCTCATATCACAAGTTAAAAGTGAATGTTAATTATTTTTTCGAATACAACTATCTGATACACTGTTATAACCTTATTTGGGAGCCAAGATGTCTCCATGGACCATGAGTAAACAGGAGGTCCCATATTTAATCCATGTACGTTCAACGGGATTTCAACCTGCTTTCCCCTTATCAGTGGTGCGAGACGAAACGTCTCTAGTCGTTCGGTTGTTCAACAAAACAAAGCCCACGTGTGTACTCTTAGGTGTGCATGTAAAAGAGCCCCTGAGTAGGTAGAAACGTCGCTTTCCGAGCAGAACTGACTATGTCCATCTTCATTAGCCAAGTTGGTGCAGACAATAAGACGGTAACACACTAACACTATTTTATGGAATAACAATTACTGGTTTATTAACATGCAACGTTGCGACAATGACACTCTCGTCTTTATCAAGCAAATAAGACGGTAAACCCCATTTCAATTCATAACCTTATTAGAAACAATTTACTTTACACCACATGTATATTTTAACTTACCGACAGTGTACAATAATTGGGTTTTCTTTTTGATCATATGTCCATGATTGAATGTGTTCCAACAGGGTGAAAAATGGAGTAGATGATTTACAGAATGTACACTGGTAGATTCTTACCGTATGATCTATCTCATTCTGTGTTAATATAAAAGAAAAAACATCTCAATAAAGATCTCATACAAAGTAAACGTATAAAACTACCCCCAAGAGTTGCCAATATATTTATCGCACTGTTGATGGTCTAATCTCTTGAATATATCTCTAAAACGTAACACTTTTGCCAAAGTAACTGCATATATTATAAAATGATTTGATCACATTAAGCGATAATAATAATAATAATAATAATATAATAATAATAATAAAAACTTTATTTAATGAGGCAACTTATTTAGTTTGCAAAATAACTAATCTTCTATAAGTCCCTCCTAAGCTACAAAGACATAATATGTACATGTAATATCAGGATAAATTCAAAATCATTTGAAATGTTCATCCATATTTGGGAAGGAAATTAACGCCAAGGCCAGTCTAGGGTAATGTTCTCCTCCCGGTCTGTGGCTACCGGGATCTGTTGGGCGAAATTCATCAGAGCTTACCAAGAGCAGCTATCAAAAGCTATATACAAGTTATTGAGAACGAGAAACATCTATGCAAAGCGGTTTTAATAATAAAGTTGTAGAAACGAACTAACCTGTAGTTATATTTACGATTACGAAGGCATTACTACAAAAGTAAATTCTACAAGATTTTATTCGCTACAAGAGTTCCACAAGATATTGGATATGGAATAAATTCAATTTTTTCAAAAATGTATTCTCAGACCCCCAGAACTGTCTAACCTTGTCGGGTTTAGCTGAGTCTTCTGTCTAACCTCGTGGGTTTTCTTGAGGTCCATCATTTTTGCTTTTAGTGCTAGGACAGTATCTAGTCTTTCGGATTGGACGAAAACAGAGGTCTCGTGTTCGTTGACGTGCACTTAAAAGGTCCTTTGGCAGTTGGTAGGTAGTAGTGCCACTGTCTGTGCAAAATGTATTTCATAGCTCAATGCATGGCGTATGCCCAATCGGAGCTAAAAAGTATGACGTTAAACAACATTTCATTTCATTTTGTATTTCAGTGATTCAGACTTTGAGTCTTAGGCTTTTCGAACACGTTCGCATGAGACAAAAAGACATAGATCCTTGTTTAAATGGTGACTGTGGGCGTTTAGTTTTTTGGATAATTAACATTGGAGTAGGGTATCCGGGTACAGTTCTTTTAACCCCGTATTGCGCATATAACCATATATAGGCATAACATTATCATATGTGTCTCATATGTTTACAATCTACCCAGAAACGAAATCGTTCGACAAAACTTCACATTTCTTTATTGTTCTTTATATGCCCACCCACAGAAAATAACAAAATGGTTCCGCATAGGTAACTTTCATTGTCTGTTTCTTTTGGTGTCCTATCTACTTATATTTTTATATTTATCTACACATCCCCGTATAGACACTCATTGTTCTTTGCGATATTAGTTTAAAAGGAGATGGCCAGATAATTCAGCTGTGTTTAACTATGCCGTTTACCATGCAGACGGAGTCTGTTCTCATTGTTAGCTGTCACTGGCTCAAATACATGGTATTTGTAGGTTTTTCAATTTTCCCTAAGAGTGATGATTGCGCTAGATTCATTATATAGTCGCAGTAACCTTCTGGGTGGTCATTTACACTACTAAGCGGGGCCGCGACAGTGAAAGCGGGGATCGCATTTGATTGATTTAACTACTTGGATGGAGTCGTATACACTAACAGGAACGCGAATGTGTCGGAATTTCTTTCACATTTTGGGGAATAGTTCGAGAGAACGATTTTCACTAGTCAAAAGTGTGAAGTCAAAAGGCATACATGGTAAAATCGTCTGTCTATGCGCCAGTTTCATCTGCAAATGTCCGTGTCGAAGCTTTCACACTCCGTATAAATGACCAATTACTCACTGGCGCACGAACTTGCAAACGCGATTATCCGGACCGAATTGGGATCCACGGTAGATCATCAGTGGGTGGGGATGGGGTGAAAAACGTAGGACACGTTGAAATTCGGAAAAAGAGTAGGTTGTGGCGGCAATAACTCACTCTTGGCAAGCTACACGTCCTATGCGCGTCTTCATTATCCCAGTTGTAGAAAAGCAATACGTTAAACCCCACTTCATTTCATTTATTTTCATTCTAGCTGTTGATCAAAAGGAAAATGTCTTGATGTCATAAAAGTCTACAAGCCTCTTTATCTATACTTTATATCGTTATATCATTCACATTAAGATTAAATAAACATTTTCTTAAAGAAAAAAAATATATAGCTTCATGAAACTTTATACTTATTTCATCGCACAGTAGAAGGATGTAATTTATACTAATAACACATAGACAGCCTTCATTGCATAAAAAACTGTTATCTAATCCAGGATGGTTTTATTGTATTCTAGTCTGTATAGTTTTAGTTGAAACTCTTGTGCAATAGAAATGAAATGGTGTTTTAACATCCTACTTTTCCGCACCAACCTCGTGTAGTAGTACCTAAGTATTAGAATTGTTTTTACGGGCGTAGAAGGCAAATCAATAATTGCATTTCTTTCTACGTCAAATATCTTGTGGAACAGTTATGGTAAAAAAAACACCACAAAATGTAGTTCCAGGGGGTCGGAGAAGAAACCTTTGAAAATTTTATTTTCCAAGTCCAATATCTTGTGTAACTCTTGTGGTGAGAAATCCCACACAAAAGCTGACAAACCTTGTCATACATGGTGATTTTATCTACAAAGCTAGAACAAACTTAATCCTAAATATCTAATACTCAACTTACATCTTGTGAATTGCCTGTAACCTGACATGTTATAATTGTATAAAACTCATGTTGTATTTCTTCTGTTTTAGTTATAGTAAAGGGGTCACAGGTTAGTGGTTTATCTCCTGGTAGGTACTGACCAATACCCTAAACAAATATTATACATACATAATCATAAAGTAGTTAACATCACATATTCAACATTTCCTGACCTAGCTAGTAAAGCCCAAGGTATACCATATTCCAACATCTATTACACTCTATAATATTTTATCCTATAGTAAGTGTGGATCAAAAATTACAACACTTAGGACACCCAGGAATCCGTTCGTACCCCCCCCCCATCTAACCATGGGTGTCTTACGCTACCATGCTCGTAAAGCTATTCATAACATTTTGAATGGTCAATAATTGTAAAGTGTTTTCCACGTTGTCAATCAGTCCTTGGGTGTCTTGTACAAGATAAGGTAGGGTAAACGATGGTATCATTTGATAGCCCGATGCGTTGTTGAAAAAATGTAGAAACTGCCTTAACCACTTCCTGTTCCCTATACTTTAAGATTACACAATACTAATAAATTTTATCTATAACTTGTCAGGATAGTTATAAACCATGTCCAATTTTACCTTAGTTTTATCTTGTCCATGATCCATGTGAACGATTGTTTGAGATTCCTTTTGTACAACCATTCTCCAGAAATCTATAACAGTATTAGGTAATGGTGTCTGGGTCAATATATAAGCTCTTTTCTTTCTGTAACTCTACAAATTATAATTCAAAATTACACCAGCAATTAGATTTTATGTCAATACTCTGAAATAAATGAGAGGTAGTATCATACATTATTATAACCTACATCTCGAGATAAGACATCGGGTATGTGCCTATCGGCATGGACCGCAGTAGATTCAACCACACCTGTTCAATTCTTGGTCTACTTGTGGGTACGTGTTGATAAGTATTTATCTAGAGCTCCGAGTCTTTACTGGTATCATCCACAAAGCGTAAACCAAGTATAGATTTGGTTTTATTTGTACATTCTAAGTCGCGTGATTTCATAATGTACCACCAGAATGATTGAAAATACTCATTATCATATCTAAAACGTGACGCGACAGTACAATGGATGCGTGTACCAGTACAGGCACAATTTCCGGTACGTATAAAAGACTATACATTGTATATGTCCATTAAAGGAATATGTTGGTGTCCACAGATATTACAATATGTTATAGAACTGGTTAAACACATCCGATATATAATTTAAACACAGTGATTTTTGCTACGGCTGACACCAACATTGTCCTTTAATACACGAGCATACCATTTGAAAGTATAAAACAGTACACAAAATCCATGTGATGCGAAAACAAATCATTACTTACTGGTATATAAACAGCATTGATATAATCTGTTGTATTAGGAACCGGTATCGTCAAAAGTATTCTAGTATTTTCATCTAAAAATATATCGTTAAATCTTTTTCTTTTTTACAAAATTTTTATCAACTAAAATACTAGCATGCTAACATTATAGATCGTATACAAGAATTCGAAAATAATGGGTGTTGGGCATATAATGTGAAAGTGCATACAATCTAGAATTAAGAGAGGTGGCTTGAGATATATTTTAGAAGTCATTGGTATTTCTGCATATAATGTGAACGTTGCTTTAAGAGGGGTGGCAAGGATTATACTTCCGTTGGAATGAAAATTAAAACCCAAAGATTATTTAAATTATTCTTTATTGTAGTCAGTTATTAGGTGAATCTAATGCACTTCTATAAAATAAGGCGGTTCTGCGAATATGGTGCTGATTTAATAACCAGGGGGTTCCGGGTTCGATACTGGTGTTGGCCAAGAAAGTTCTTCGGGATTTTCCTGTCTGCTTTCTCCTTATAAACTATTAACGAACTAACACTCGGTTATGAAAGAAATTTTGTATTTTGTACTCTAAACATGTGCTTTTTCTAGAAACAAACAAACTGGAAATTTTATATTTTTTTTTTAACTAAATTAATCTCCGACAAAGAAGAGTAAGATAAGAAAGTCTTAAATGAAGTTATCTTCCATCAATAACTAAACTCTTAACAGAACCATTTCAATTTTCTACAACACCCCTCATAGACGTACGAAACCCGCAATTTGTCCGGGTATTTCAGGTTCTGCACCCCCCACCCCCCGATTTTATGTATAAATTTATCAGATATTTCTAAATTTATCTTGGTAAGAGGACACCGGTGAAACGTGAAATAAATACTCTTCATAAAAGGCTTCTGGTTATTCAACATTTGTTAAAGTCACGTCATAATCCAAATGTATAAATAATGAATTGATGTTATACAAACGTATACAATTTCACACACCGTCTTCTTTATATTATATAATTATTATTATTGGCATACTTATTCAACAAGGAAGTTACTCAAATATCTATTTAATTTTTACACACGTGACAGCGTTAAGGAGCATAAAAGGTTTGACTATTCATTTTATTCATGCAAACCAGTGAGGTGTTACAATAGTTACATAGAAATATGTAATACAGCCGTCTTAATGCAAGGTTCCCACTATCAGGAAAACGCGTTTGCGGCCGTCAAATTTTCCATATAATCTTGGGGAGGGGGCTACACTATAGGCGACCGGCTCCGCCGTCTGTAACCGGAATTCTTTTCGGGCATTTCAGGTTTTCCCCCGCCCCCACTAACATTCGTCGAGCCTGTACGCCTATGTTTCTCTTTATCAGTGACGAAAGACGAAAGGCTCGACAAGGAAATAAACCCGTGTAGTTATCTAGATGTGACGAAAACCGAGGTCCGTGTATACCATTGGCAGCACGTTACAGATTCCTGTCAAAAATCGAAATAGTGCCACTGTCAAGGCAAAATTGCCCAATAACACATTTCATGGTGTATGCCAGTTTTCCTTATCCCAGTTGATGCAGACAAATAAGACATTAAACCCCATGTCATTTCATTTCCATGCAATATTATTTTAAAATAAGTGAGATCACTGCCGCGGTAATACATGTATCTATTAAATGCATGTAAAACCACAAGCGATTCATATCATGCCAGAATACTCCTTTTGATTTTAAAGAAAAGGGTAAATTTTAAATCTCGAAATAAATAATATTACGTACACGCTAATATTGTTGACACTCTATTTTTAATTTTATTTTCTTTCAGTAAAGCTGTAGAATAATCAGCGTCTGTATATTTTGGACAAACCTGGCCCATCATCTACAATAAGGCATAAAATTAATGGGTATTTGTCATACTACCAAATTAACTCAATTGTGGGATATGAACCATAACTGTATAACTGCATTGGTTGAAACAAGGAAATATTTTACTACGGACAGATGAACAAAACCCATGACCATGGGTCATTAAATATATCACAACAGTCCAGACCGGGATATATTATTTCTACTTGAAATAAGATAATATTCCTTGTATAGTCAACATTTATAATTTCTTATAGCTTTCAAGATGCATTATGTAAGGACTAATTCTGCCTATCGCAGGTCTTTATTTTGGCTTCAAAGTTCAAATGTTATATAAATTATTACTTAGACATTTATTAACATAACAAGTCCAAAATAAACTCTCTAGACAATGAACGCTGCATCTTCCAACACTCATAGCTGGGCTCAGAATATGTGAATAATGGAAACTCTGAAATTTGATTGGAGATTAGAACTACTTTTTATTGTGACTGGTTAATCACACACCATATAATCCGAACTATGTTTCTGACATCTTTTCATTGTCACTAACTTTGGAATCGTCCTCAGGATCAGTTAGATTTTTTGTTTCTTTCTTATACTTGAATATTGGAAAATAATAGTGAACTTACTTCAAACTTTTCTTCTAGTTCACATTTACCAGAACTTTGTTTAACTTTAAGAAGATCTTGATAAACACCTTGATAAGCTGTAACAGTAGTTGTAGTATCACCAGCTATATACCATTCTAATATAGCTTCATGTAGAAATACATACTGATCCTACAAATATTTTTCATGAAAAATAAACTTTAAACAAATCTGAAGAATAATACATAGTCAACCAGATAACACACCTCATTGAACCAGAAATTATACTTCCATGATGCAGGTTTTTCGTACAAAGGGTAAATAATAATAATAAAATGTCTTATATAGCGCTAAATTATGTCCTCTGGTCATTTCTAAGCGCTTGGCAATGAGCTTAACTATTGTTCTAGCACATAATATTTGGTAACTAGAAAGTGTCTTTAGTGTTTACTTAAAACTTGAAAATAGAGATGTCATGTGGATCTGTCGAGGAATACTGAGTTACTCATTGTATCAATACTGAGTTAATTTTAAACCTATAGAAAGGAATGCAATGGTACTAACATTGATTTAAATTTAATCATATAGAAAGCACCATGCATGGTATTAATACTAGTTTATTTTAATCTTAAAGAAAACACCATACCTGGTATTAATACTGGGTTGATATTAATCTTTTAAAAACCACCATATATAGTATGAATACTGAGTTGATTCTAAACCTATGGAAAACACCGCACATGGAATTTTGTTGCATATTATTGAAATGAAAAAATAGTTATAATTTTAAAATGATTTTCAGCTTACATCAGTTTGAACCATATTCGTCCTTTCTTTTCTCATCTGTGAAACACATTTAAAAACATCAACAGAACCTTCAGCTTTACCTTCATCTATCAGATAATCTAAAGCTAAGAATGTTCCTGTCCGTCCAATACCAGCACTGAAAAACATGAAACAGATTTAGATATAAATGTATTCGTTAATTTACTATTAATATTCGTATCTCCAATTGAATATGATTAAAAGCAAATTTAGTTAAAATATGACAAGTTCTATCAATTCTCGTGTTCTTAGTTGTGTTCTGTAAATAACCAATGAAAGTACAACTGTTCTAATCATGCCAATATATCTCCCCAAAATCTGTGTATAAATTTACTCAAGTCCGGTGCATAAGGCAGCCGATATTAGAACTATAATGACGAAACGTTTCCGTCTTCATTAGCCCAGCTGGGGCAGAACATTAGGACGTTAAACCTCATTTCATTTCATTTCACGATCGGGTTTCTTCATATTAAGACAGTGCTTTAAATATTTACATTATCATGGCATTTCCAAACACAGTTTTTGTTATACAACACAGAATTAACGAAACCATTGTATTATATAGGGTCAATCCCCGTTTCGTTTTCATCACTACACACCATCTCTACGATATTAATCTCTGATAATAAATAATCATACAGATAATAGCGACCCCACAAGATCGGCTTCTTTTGATAACAACAGGTTTATATCAAATATTTAAAAGCGAACTAACCTACAGTGTACCACCATTGGTCCTGGTTGTGGTGATTTGACTTTAAGTATCTTGTTTCTGAATTCTACCAATGACGCCATATCAGTAGGGACACCTTTATCAGGCCATGATGTATAATGACAATGTTTTATTGTCCGAGATCCACACCCATCCTACAGTTTATTTTCAAATATAATATTTTTAACATGAAATTACACCCTATTCAATAAACGTATTTGCAAAAGCTTTTAAAAGAGGCTAGGTATACTAAGACCCTGTGTAACGGAATTTTTTGTCTTGCTATTATTATTATTATGAATTCCGTTATCGACAACTCGATGGCATCACAAATTTAAGAAGAAGAATTGTCAGAAACGATACTAAAGATAAAACTACAGGATTAGCTTAGGCTACTTACTTTTGATATTTTCAATGTCCTAATAGTAAAATGGGCCAATACATCCTCTTCAATCAGTTCAATTTTTATCTTTCTGAAAGTCTTTACCTTGCCGATCGATGGCCAGTATTTTAAACATTTCATCTGTGATTCGAAAGAAAGTAAATAAATAAATTAAAATTTTGCTTTCGGCGCTCTTCAAAAATTGGGCTGAACCAGTTTACAATACATCATTCAAACTATTCTATAACCGATCAAATTAACTTGTAACATTATAGCCAAATAATTTATTATAAAATAATTAAAATAATCTATTTCTAACAATCAATTTATTATAAAACAATTAAAATAGTCTATTTCTAACAATCAATTTATTATAAAATAATTAAAATAATATATTTCTAACAATCTAAAGATAAAATATGTTGTATTTTAAAACATCCATATTAAACTTACACCACCGGCTTCGTGTAGATTAGTAACCATAGCAATCTTTCCTGTTTTAACATCCCAAAGCATCCTAACAAACTCATTGATGTTCACATCATTGTCCTATATATTATATATTTAAATATATTTATTAAAGCTAATGTCAAAATATGACATCAGATGGTCCATATTATTGAAATTAGTCAATAATTTGCAATGTATATTAAATATTAAACATTACTGCTTTCAAAGGGGTTGGCGATTAACATAATAGAACGTGAACAATTTTGGACCACATTCTATCAGGAGAGATTGACGTCAAAATATATTTAATCCTTGGGTGGCATTTAGCGATTGAGCACATTAAAACACAACATATTGTCGAAAATTATTACTTTTGAATAATGCTTAAAGCCTGAGACTAATTACGCGAATTTAATTTGGATGTAGGTTGGTCAATGTTTTCGCCGCCGAAGTTACCCAGACATCTCAGTGGATCTACATCTCTTGGATAAGTCGCATTAAACTAAGTTCACGCTTGCTTCGATGTGCTTTTATCCACGCTGTGTCATTGGAGGTCGCCATTTGGTTTGTCATGAGAAACCTGGAACGGTTTTGATTTGCTGATGAATTCTAGGGTTCGCGTTCATCTTCGCCGGAGTGAACACACGAGCTGAACCATATTGATATTGGCGAAAGTCGGGCGAAGGTTCAGACACACTAGGCGAAACTCACTGGCGAAGATATGGCCCGAATGGTTCGACCTAAAAATTTGCGTAGTGTATCCCAGGCATTACTGTTTCTATACACCAGACATTTGATTCTTAATGCCAAAGACACAATTAATTTCATGCGACATTTTCGCCTTTTGAGTACTCTGCGTTGCCCGAGTAACTTCGTCTGAAATATGGAACACTCTTTACGAATTTTATGGACATCGAAGATCGGGCGAGTGTCACAGTTCCAGACACACTAGGCGAAATTCGATGGCGAATGGGTTCGCCTGAATGTTTCACCGTACAAAATTAGCATAATTTATTCTATGTGCTATGCGAACGTTGTTAGGCTTGCACAAATTCCGTTTTGTACAATCAGATTCGTATGTATAACGCCCATTTGAAGGTTTCAATTACAATATATAAAAATGAAAAAAAAAAAAAAAAAATGATACCCTGTGCCGCGATGTATTTATTCTTGATGTTTCCATATCCCTACGAATAATGAACACATATTATTGACATATAGTTTATAAAACGGGGTTAACGACATTTCTTTAAAATTCATGAACAAATATTATTATAAGGTTTATAAAGCGAGACCATAGACATATCCCTACAAATAATGAACATATTATATGGTTTATAAGGTGGGCGTAGAAACATATTCCTACATTGTCTCGTGTAACATCACTATATATTTGGCGCAATATATCACGGTTGGAGCTGACGTTGACGCGCCATTAACCATTTCATTCAGTCATATCCCTACATTATAATGAACAAATATTATCATTGTTTATACAGCGAGAGGAAAGACATATTGTTTATACAGCGAGAGGAAAGACATATTCGTAAAAAATAATGAGCATACCTTATTATATGTATATGTGAAGAGCTGGCAATTGCGCCATGCGCATACACGAATGGAATGTGTGCATTATAAATACACACTATTATTATTATTATTATATGGGTTATAAAGCGGGAGCAAACATATCAAGTGACAAGAAGGAAAAGAATCCAGCCGTAATACTAGAATATGTGTCATAATACCAGGTGTGGAAGAATTTATTATTATCAATATCGGCCTCTTCATTAGCCCATTCTGTACAGGTAAGTAGGACGTTAAACCTTATTACATTTCATTTCTTAATACCAGCTTAAAAGAAATGAATTGAGATGGGGTTTAACTTCCTACCTTTCTACACAGACTGTGCACGGTCGGCTTAAAACAGCAATAAGACAGCTAATAATGTAAGCTATACACGTAGCAAACATTTCTAACATCTAAAAATATAAAAATATGTATATGTATCTGACCGAGTAATATACTTATTGATATGTTTAGCTTACAGTAATATAACAGGCGTTGACATAATCTGAAGTGGGGTCATCATTTTCAATATCTAGTTTCACCCGTGTGTGATCAACTGAAACAGAAATAGATATTTAATATTTAAATGGAGTATTGAACAAATAACCACGACTAACTGCACAATTATTTTGTATTTATCAATATTCTATTGTCGACAACAAAGGAATGGCTAACAAAAAGGCAGTCACGAGTTTCCTTATAGAAATTTTATTCATGAAAAGATTAATGTGTTTGAGATTACATTGTATTATGTTTCTAATTAGGAAAAAAGGGTGTTTTTGTGAATTCAACAAGGAAGAATGTACTTGAATTTAATTCAAGTTATATTTATAGCACGGCTTTCATAAGTTAACAGGTTTAAACTTCGAGACCGCAGGTCGATTTAAACCTGTTAACGAATGAAGCGTGTTATAAATGACTTGTAACATTGACACCTGCTGAACATGCTTGTTATTATTGCACAGAAAACCCACCCCACTTCTCTATATGATTTCTACTAAAACTAGTGTAAACCAGCAAAAGAGTGCAATAACATTGAACATGTCTAGTTATTGCACGGTTTAGCTCCACCCAATCTTACTAGAGGGAAAACAATCTGCTTATTCAACGAAAAGAACAAAGGAAGATTTCCCGTCCATGTTACAAATCGTGTTAATAGATCTAACACTTACATGCACATATATTTCTGTATCTATTTTTAGGTCGATTTACATCGTTCATACAAACATCAACTGGTGAACACAAGTCTTTTGGCAGTTTCTTGTAAATAATAAAAAAAAGTCCTACTAATTACGGACAAGAGCCAACAAGAGCGTTCTTTTTTCAAAAGCGCCCAAGGTATTGCAATAAGCCACCGCTAAGGAAATATATATTGTATATAATATTCTACATTTTTTAAAAAAAAAGCGGCGTACTACCGACATGTAAGAACTATACCTTTCGCATGATCAACTTTTATAAAAGTTATGGTAACGCGTGTCAGATAGATATATCATATATAAATTATGTAGTTCAATTGAATGAATTAAAGACGATATGCAGGTTGTAAAAACCCATGTGTGTCTCAATAAACCATATTTGTGCATCAATAAGCCTGATAAAATAACAAACAAGAATCAAGATACGAAATAAATTTACCGACATGAAGCAATATAAGATAAATCTATATAATTATTCTACTTATCATATGTAAGAATAGTTACGTTTGGATAAATGAAATGAAATGGGGTTTAACGTCCTACTGTTCTGCTCCTATACTGGGCTAATGAAGACGGGCATATGCCATACAGTGTGCTATGAGGGAAATTTTTGCCCGGGCAGCGGCACTATCGCCTACTCTTATATCGAATTCCAACTGCCAAGGGATCTTTTACGTGCATTCCAATGTATACACGGGACCTCGGTTTTTCGACTCATCCGAAGGACTAGACAGCTGTCATTGTCAGGCCCTCCGTTCTGCACCACTGACAAGGGGAAACCACGTCGGAAAATCCAGATGAACTTTCTCGGCCAATGCAGGGATCGAACACTCGACCTCCAGGCTAGCAAGTCAGCGTCTTAACCACCTAGCCACCGTGGCTCCCACGTTTGGATAAATATTATAGAATATATAAACTAACAAACTATGAAATATATATATGCCTCAATATTGAATGCATAATTATGCTGATTTGTCAATTTTTCACTTATCCATAATTTTGTCAATTCTTTATGAAATCATTTAAATTTTAGATATGATACTATACAGAATATGCATATCTATAACATATCTGGCATTGTCGACCATATTTCGCAATAATTTTGGCGCTATGGATAAAAGAACGCGCTTGTGCATGGATGATTGGTGATAAACAATGGTTAGCAACGACAAATTTTTTAAAACATTATATATGTACTAATGTCCAAAAGAAAGTATACACTGTGCATTTTGTGCTACATCAACCAAAGTCGTTTTTCCGTGGTATACGGTATTTGGGTAGAATGTCAATTTGTTTCACATTTTTATTTTGCTTAGAAATGTTCAGTTTGGACGCAAGAGACAAACTCAGTAATGTTTTATCAAATGTTTTTAATCTAAACAAAACTTAGTCATACTTTTAGTGTGTATACTTTCTTTTGGACATCAGTACATCCGATGTTACGTTTAATTGGATACAGCCTGCTCAATTAGTCCTTGAGTTGCATTTAACTAACGACTGAGCACAATAAAACGCAACACAATTTATCTAGAAAACAATCACTGGTTTGTAAACTTATAACATGATGATGTTTCTATAAGTGTTCTCTTATTGTTATTGATAACGGTAAGAGAACACTTATAGAAACATCATGCTATATGTTTACAAACCAGTGATTGTTTTTCCATAAAAATTGTGTTCCGCTCAATACAAGTTGGTTAACCAAACTACTTTAGTTTCATTTTGTTTTATATTCTATATTTCATTATTTAACATTATGGAATCTACAATAGATCTGCCAGCTTTTATCGTAGATAAAATAAATGAAACCATAAGTAAATATAAATCAATGATCAATCGGTAACACCATCGATTAATCCTAGAATAGACCATAAATAACAATTACTCTGGTCAACAATAGATCATGTGCATAGATTAGAAAGTTACAATTATAATATAGGAACGATTGTTTGTCTGATTTGGCAATACTATTGTAGTTTTTTGCTTGTCCTGTCCATTGTAACATGTGTCGTGTCACTGGGTTTGTCTTCTGGGTTTCTGGTTGTTTATATGTAGTGTGATTCAACTACACTTACTACTAATAGAGATTGTCTATATACAAGAACGATCGCATTTACTATGGTTAACGCGTGCGGGTGAAATCATAAGGTCTGTCATTGAGTCAAGTGGCGTGGTTTCGATTCCCTGCTTGTATGTGACAAGGAGTAGGGTCACCTCTCCAACCTCTTAGGTTTTCTCCGGGTCCTCCGGTTTCCTCCCATTGCTAATTATTGAATGAAACCGAACCATATGTTAGTCCCAAAATGGCCTAATTTGTGTATTCAATTTACCTGATATTCTGGTTTGAAAGATTTTTCTTGTTTTTTTCTTTGAATGGTTTCCCACAAATCCTTCAGATCGATACAAGTTTTGGATCGTGTAATTTGGATGTTCTGATAAAGACTAGCATCATTAACAAAGACATCTGATCTGACATCATTAACATAAACAGATTCTCCATTATCTATGACTTGTTCTATAATATGAGAAACATAAACAGCTTCATTTACGTAAACCGATTCGCGAGTATTATCTTCGTCTGTAAATATCAATCGTATATAAATAACTTTCATTATAAATATGGTATTCACAGAAACAATATCCCTCTCCCCCCAACTTAATAAAGGCCATAATTAAAACAAACTCTTTAAATAAAATAATAATTTTTTCAGATAATTGGAAAACCTGATTTACAGGATTAAATTAGAGATTAATAATTAAATATTCCCTCGTTTGTGGCCATCATGTTGTTCGGCAATCCATTTTAAAGATGCATTAGACATTTATTCACCTGCCAAGCTCATAATCAGTTCTATAAACCATCGATTGGTTGTGAATATGCACGCATTGAAACACGGTTGCGATTTAATAATCGAATTGAAAATGGATGATCAAGACTGTTTATTATCGTAACAACTGTAGCAATAAAAATCGATCCCACGCTTTTCTTCAAACAGTTATAACTTCGCTCAGAATGAAGTAATTAGCTATTTTATATTGCTATAGCGAGAGCCGACAGTTCTTTATCCAAATCTCACATAATGTACCGTGAAACATTTTCATATTATATTATCAGTTTTAAATGCCAAAACAGCAATAATCTGTGTTTGTGATCCGTCAAGTTCGATTTTACCTGATGTATCGTTTCTAATAATCGATTTCGTCAAACTGAAGTTCTCATATTTATTATCTTCAGATTCTAGCCTTGGTGTATTACTTTTATTTCTTTTTCTGCAATAGATATTTTATGTAATAGATAAATTACTTTCCGTCAATGAGAAAAACTTAATGTCGAATTTTAATAAAATAGTATTATATATTTGAAAACAACATTAAATCCAATGGAATAAAAATGTCACACAAAATAAAAGTTTGCAATCTATGTTAACTTCTAAAATGAGCAGTGGTCTCAGATGTTATGAAACTATATTTATTTGTAGAAACCATATATTTATAAAAAGAATTCTTACCTTTTGAACATAACCACACCGACAATAACTAAAACAACAATACCAACTACAACAACCGATACAACAACAGGTAAAATAAGAGAATCAGGCCCGGGAGCTGAAATAAAACATGGAGGAAGAATCCCTTTAAAATTTCACTATTATTATTATTTATAGAACATTTAGTTCTGTTCTTCATGTTATTTGTAGTGAGAATTGACTAGAGTCAAGATTTATAATAGTCTGAATATTAAACACAGAGTTCAGTTAAAGTCCATTCCGAGGATTTCTATTTGATTTGATCTCCTCACAATTCTATTTGCGTTTCATTTGTTCTGCTATAAGATAATATATCAATTTATAAACAAATATTTTATTCAATAAATATCTGAAATAGGAGTTTAGGACCCCATAGGTTTACCGTTCTTCGTAGGCAAAGACTTTGATTATTTATGATCCATTAAACATGTTGCAAATTACCAAATTCAAGCTTCAAAATTTATCGACATGATTCAGAAACCTTGCTAGTCGAATTTTACTCAAAATAGGCTTTTTTTCGATTACAAATTTTGTGTGCACCGTTTTCTAAAAATACCCAAACGTCTGGTTTTATTGATAGTAAGTTATTCTAATAAAGCACATAATTATCGATGTTTTAAAAGGACTTAAAACAACACATAACAAGATAAACGTGATTGAAGATAGAATCACTTTATTATGATTCTTTGTTTTATAAATTAGAATAATTTTCAAGTACTGTGTAACAGAACTGCAAAAGTATTCTTAAGAATATACTAAGTAAATATTTGACTTGGGAGAGTTTGGAAATATTTCAATGTCTTATATTTGTGTTGATTTTGCATCGAAATTTAGCCACTTATTATTCATGTACTTCGAGTTAAAGCAGTATTTTACAAGAAGGAGAGGTTTAATTTATCTTGCCAGAAGTAACAATGATGTTAAGTCTACGCCTTCCCCTGTCCTACATAGCATCATCCGCCTGCAACAAATGTCTCGCCGATACCACTGAAACGAAAACAACTTTATCGTACCATGATCAGCCCTAAGCCGACAAGCATGCAATGAACTGTTAACCAATGAAATGCCACAAGCATTGAAAGAGATCACACAACTAGTCACGCAAAGAAACTCCACAACCGTCACGAAAGGAGATCAAAGAAATGACCCAGCTACTAACATCCAAGGGGACCATACCACGGTCTTCAAAGGAAATCACCACAAAGTCACCAATTTACAGAAGAGACGGCCTAATAGTCATTCAAGAAGAACACACAAACGGAATCCAAAGCGATCACCCCACATTCACCAAAGGATGTTACACAACTTCCTTCAAAAGAGATCATCCAACAACCATCCAAAGAGATCTACCGACAGTCATTCACGGATATCACAAACTAAGCAACACATACAATCGATCTACAGTCACCCAAAGAACTAGCATCAATATAAATCATCCAACATTCACACAAGATAACACAACTTGTATTAAAAGAGATCAAAGCCGTAAAATATGATCTATTCATTCGATGGTACACTTGGCATGAACCACCTTAATTTAATTTTATTGGGGACGCGGAATAGATGGTACGCAGACATAAATATAACGTGTCTCATTTATCTAAACGGATCACTTAGCAATTTTGCCTTTTTCTGCTTTCCACATATTGCGAACACTGCATACCTGCATTACTATAAGCTGAAAGGTGGTATTCGCTTCTAAATTCTATCAGTGTTATAAATCTAAAATATTGTATGAAAACTAAAGGGTCATACGTCAAAAGTGGAAATTCTGGTCTTAATCAGCAGTAAATCATCTACACAAAGTTGATTAACTAAAAATTGTGGATACCGCTTTATTTAGTTTTTACTTCCTCCTGAAAAATTAGGATTGCCGACATCACGATATGATATGTCAATGCATCTTCAGATATTTAGTCAATCCCATCTCTGGATTCAGTCAACTATGAAATTACAGAGAAACCAGGAATGTACAGTTAGTTATGGATTCACATTACGCATATCCCCTTAGATCTCAGATAAAAAAAATCCACTGTGTAGGTATGACATGCATGACTACTATGATTTTGAAATCAATTTTAATATATATCTTACGTTTAATAGCATGACAAGTATCTCCTGTATAACCTTCTATACATCCAACTAAACCACAACTTCCTCTGGTTATTTCACACGATGCATTCTGAGCACAATTTCGACAGGTTTTGATACAATTCTCACCATAAAACCCCCAAGTATAATCTGAAATAATTTACACCTTCTATACATACATATAGGCTACACTATACGAATGGGTAAAGATGTTATATCATCTTTCCTGAATTTCACGATTCTTACATTTTATAACTATTTATGAAATAGGTGATTTGAATGGATGACGTTTTCTAGAAGTTTTGGAATATCTGCACCGAAGATATAGATCTTTAAAAAGGAGGGCATTTGGTATGGATTTATATAGAAATATTTGTACTTGACTACTCATATTGTTAAAGGGGAGTCATAATACATCTGCTTACTTTAATTAAAGAATAGTTTCACGTACAAGACAAACTCGAATCAACGAGTGTTTTAAACATACTGTAAAATGCAACGTAGAAGTGGACATTGTCTAAATCCCCGTCCCCTCCATCCCCCGCCACTTTGACATTTATGGAACTATATATTACGTTTACTTTCTAAATAGCCCATCTTGAAAACAGTATCGGTTGCCCAATTATTTTTCGAATTCAAACCCGCGTATCTTGGTTATATTTATGAAAGAGTAAATACTAATTGGAGGTATACATATCTTACTTTTAGAGCAGTCCGTTCACATTTTACAATCCACACAGCCACTGGAACAATCTCCGTTCTCTTATGATAACAGGAACCAATTCGACAGTTCAAACTACACGTGTAATTACATGATGTTCCATAATATTTGCCATCTTTACATTGAGAACAGTTGTTGCTATCATACTGATCACCCCACATTCACCCAAGGATGTCACACAACTTCCTTCAAAAGAGATCATCCAACAACCATCCAAAGAGATCTACCGACAGTCATTAACGGATATCACAAACTAAGCAACACATGCAATCGATCTACAGCCACCCAAAGAACTAGCATCAAAATAAATCATCCAACATTCACACAAGATAACACAACTTGCATTAAAAGAGATCACCCAACAATCATCAAAGGAAATCTCCCGACACTCACTCACGAAAATCGGGAAGCAAACAAAACAACATATGCAGTCACACAACAATCATCCAAAGGGATCATACAACTAACATCAAAGGAAATCACCCAAATGTAATCCAAGGAGGCCATCCAACTTCGGTCAACCAAGGAGATCACAAAACTAGCATACAAACACACCCCAACGTAAGTCCACCAACGAGATCACGCCAATCTGATTAAAACACAGATCCTATTTCGCTTCGTTTTTATAGTTCAAAATTTCGTTTTACTTGTCTTTACTACACTTGTGTAGGTCATCGAAAGTATAAAAAACGAAACGAAATATAGATCTGTATTTTAATTAGATTGAGATCACACAGCATTAATCAAAGCAGACCACACAGCATTATTCAAAGCGGACCACACAGCATTCATCTAAGCAGACCACACAGCATTCATAAAAGCAGATCAAACAACTAGAATCAATAGGTCACCCACTCGCATCAAAGGATATGACGCAACTAGCATCAAAAGAAATTACCCGACAGCCATCTGTCACCCAAAAAGATCACACAACTTAGGTCAACCAATTATACAACTTAGGTCAACCAATTATAGAAATATCTAAGAAAAAACCAAACTTTCGAGAAATGATCATTTTCAGTGACGGCTGTGAGCTACCAAAACAGAAATGTGTCCCTTTCAAAGATGCTGTCAAAAAAGCCCGTGCTCGGAATATCGAAATCTTATCCAAAGATCCTGGAAAAAGGTCACACCCGAGCCATAGTCTGATAGCTGCATTGATATAATAAAGTCTTCCAGAAGTACATCTCCCTACTAGGTTAACCTTTTGTCTCACAAAGTTAATGATATTCATGTTCTGAAATACTCACCTGGTGTGCAGCCTACTGTATAAACTAACTTTCGATGATGATTTTGAAAACCTACCTCGAAGACGATCTTTAGTGTCATCTGCTGTCACGAATATTCTCTCTTTGTACCAAGCCCCACTTCCAATCATTTACAACAATTAAAGCGTGTATGTAATACCTCAACATTATCACGCCTTTTATGCCAATCTTGCTCATAAATAATGGGAGCTACGGAGGCTAAGTGGGCAAGACTCTGGCTCGCTAGCGTGGAGGCCGCGTGTTCGATCTCTGCATTGACCGAGAAAGATCATTGGGATTTACCGAAGTGGTTCCCTTTTGTCAATGGTGCAGAACAGAGGGCCTGACAATCACAGCTGTCTAGTCGTTACGGATGGGACGAAAATCCGAGGTCCCGTGTAAACATTGACGTTCACGTAAAACATCCCTTGGCAGTTGAAATTCGATATAAGAGTAGTCCATAGTGCCGCTGCCCGGTCGGAGCAGAACGGTAGGACTTTAAACCCCATTTCACTGCTCATGAGTAAAAACAGTTTGCAAAGTGTTAATACATGGTGTGTTGGACTGGCAGATAATACTTGACCTTTTTTATTATTAATAAATAAGATCACATAAGATCGCCGTTGTCTGAACAACCTGCACAAATTTCAATAATAATTCCAATTCTTACCTTATTTATTGTCCTGTCAATGCGTACCACCCCATGCATAGCCCCCCACACTTTAAGTTCCTATTCTTATCTTATTTACTGTCCTTTCAATGCTTACCATCCCATGCATAACCTCCTACCCTTTAAGTTCAGTTCCTACCAGCCGTTACTTACAATGTAATATACTAGAATCTTTCAATATTATCTTCCCACATTTACCTTCCTTCTCTCAAGTACGAATTTTCTATGAATCCAGAGTTTGAAAATTGTAGACATAAAGCTGAATTTAATGGACAAACGTTGCAGCTTTATTTTGAAAATAAAATCCGCGTTGTTAGGAAATGCAGTTTTATTTTGAAACAATCCACGAACTCCCCAGTGTGCAAAGCAAAAAGCCGTACAATATGGACTATCTATTCATTCGATGGTACACTTAGCACGAACCACCTTAATTTGATTTTACTGGGGACGCGGAATAGATGGAACGAAGACATAAATATATAACGTGTCTCATTTATGTAAAAGGATAACACTTGGCAATTTTGCGTTTTCTGCGTTCCGGATATTGCTAACACTGCTACCTGCATTACTAAGCTGAAAGGCTTTTTCGCTCGTATTCGTTTCTAAATTCTATCAGTGTTATAAATCTAAAATATTGTATGAAAAATAAAGGGTCCCTCCCTCCTGAAAAATTAGGATTGTCAACATACGAGGTTTTAGAATCACGATATGATATGTCAATGCATCTTCAGATGTGTAGTCAATCCCCTCTCTGGGTTCAGTCAACTATGAAATTACAGAGAAACCAGGAATGTACAGTTAGGTATGGATTCACATTTCGCATATCCTCTTAGATCTCAGATAAAAACTCCACTGTGTAGGTATTACATGCATGACTACTTCGATTTTAAAATCAATTTTAATATATATCTTACGTTTAATAGCATGACAAGTATCTCCTGTATAACCTTCTATACATCCAACTAAACCACAACTTCCTCTGGTTATCTCACATGATGCATTCTGAGCACAATTTCCACAGGTTCTGTTACAATTCTCACTATAAAATCCCCAAGTACAATCTGAAATAATTTACACCCTGTATACATACATGTAGGCTATACTATACGAATGGGTAAAGATGTTATATCACCTTTCCTGAATGTCACGATTCTTACATTTTATAACTATTTATGAAATAGGTGATTTGAATCGATGACGTTCTCTAGAAGTTTTGGAATATCTGCACCGAAGATATAGATCTTCAAAAGGAGGACATTTGGTGTGGATTTATATAGAAATATTTGTACTTGACTACTCATCCCTTGTTAAATGGATGTCATAATACATATGCTTACTTTAAAGAATAGTTTCAGGTACTAGACAAACTCGAATCAAGAGCCCCCAAGCTTTACATGTGTTTTAAACATACTGTAAAATGAAATGTAGAAGTGGATATTGTCTTAATCCCCGTCCCCTCCACCCCACCCCACCCCCAGCCCAGCCACTTTGACGTTTATGGAACTATATATTACGTTTACTTTCTAAATAGCCCAAATAGACATCTTGAAAACAGTATCGGTTGCACAATTATTTTTCGAATTAAACCCCGCGTATCTTGGTTATATTTATGAAAGAGTAAATACTAATTGGAGGTATACATATCTTACTTTTGGAGCAGTCCATTCCCATTTTACCCTCCACACAGCCACCGGAACAGTCACCGTTTTCTTGATAACAGGAACCGTGTTTACAGTTCAAACTACACGTGTAATTACATGCTGTTCCATAATATTTTCCATATATACATTGAGAACAGTTGTTGATATCATCTTGATTACAAATAGTACAGTTATCTTTACAATCTTTATCACAGGTATCTCCACTGTACCCTTTAATACATAAACTACATTTACCATTAGTTCTATCACATCTACCATCACATGTTTTACTACAGTTCTTATCACATCTATCACCATATCTTCCTACAATACATTCAGTACATATACCTTTACTCCTACTACAGTTGCCATCACATGTTGTACTACAATTCCAATCACAGCCATCGCCATATCTTCCCACAATACATTCAGTACATCTACCATCTCTATTACATGTTTCTCGAGTCCCGTCTGTAATTGGTAGACATTCAGCACCACATGTAGAATTACAATATAGACCAACTGTATTAGGTTTACAGCCACCACATTTACCCTCGTCCCTGGTACAAGTTTCACTACAGTTAACAGGACATGGTTTATTACAATCATCTCCAAATATTCCTGATATACATTCTATACATCTACCTGTTGATTTATTACATTCTTCAGTACAATTACTAGAACATCTAGTTTTACAGTTAGTACCATGGTAACCTTGTATACAGCTAGAACATTTGTTACCAGAAAATTCAGATTCACAGGTACAATATCCATTATCTTTATTGCAGATGTTGTTCTGACACCCACTACTACAGATATCTTGACAGTTGGTACCATATCTACCTTGTATACATGATTCGCATTTATTACCAGAAAAGTTAGTTTTACACGTACAATGACCATTGTCTTTAGTACAGATGTTGTTCTGACATCCACTACTACAGTTAAGACCACATCCCGAGCCATATCTACCTTGTATACATGAATCACATTTATTACCAAAAAAGTTAGTTTTACAACTACAATGACCATTGTCTCTAGTACAGATGTTGTCCTGACACCCACTACTACAGTAAAGATCACAGTTGGTACCATATCTACCTTGTATACATGAATCGCATTTATTACCAGAAAAGTTAGTTTTACACGTACAATGACCATTATCTTTAGTACAGATGTTGTTCTGACATCCACTACTACAGTAAAGACCACAGTCCGTGTCATATCTGCCTTGTATACATGCATCGCATTTATTACCAGCAAAGTAAATTTTACACGTACAATTACCATTGTCTTTAGTACAGATGTTGTTCTGACATCCACTACTACAGTAAAGACCACATCCCGTGCCATATCTACCCTGTGTACACGAATCACATTTATTTCCAGAAAAGTTAGTTTTACACGTACAATTACCATTGTCTTTAGTACAGATGTTGTTCTGACATCCACTACTACAGTAAAGACCACATCCCGTGCCATATCTACCTTGTGTACACGAATCACATTTATTTCCAGAAAAGTTAGTTTTACACGTACAATGACCATTGTCTTTAATACAGTTGTTGTTCTGACATCCACTACTACAATTAAGACCACATCCCGTGCCATATCTACCTTGTGTACACGAATCACATTTATTTCCTAAAAAGTTAGTTTTACACGTACAATGACCATTGTCTTTAATACAGTTGTTGTTCTGACATCCACTACTACAGTTAAGACCACATCCCGAGCCATATCTACCTTGTGTACATGAATCGCATTTATTACCAGAAAAGTTAGTTTTACACGTACAATGACCATTATCTTTAGTACAGATGTTGTTCTGACATCCACTACTACAGTAAAGACCACAGTCCGTGTCATATCTGCCTTGTATACATGCATCGCATTTATTACCAGCAAAGTAAATTTTACACGTACAATTACCATTGTCTTTAGTACAGATGTTGTTCTGACATCCACTACTACAGTAAAGACCACATCCCGTGCCATATCTACCTTGTGTACACGAATCACATTTATTTCCAGAAAAGTTAGTTTTACACGTACAATTACCATTGTCTTTAGTACAGATGTTGTTCTGACATCCACTACTACAGTAAAGACCACATCCCGTGCCATATCTACCTTGTGTACACGAATCACATTTATTTCCAGAAAAGTTAGTTTTACACGTACAATGACCATTGTCTTTAATACAGTTGTTGTTCTGACATCCACTACTACAATTAAGACCACATCCCGTGCCATATCTACCTTGTGTACACGAATCACATTTATTTCCTAAAAAGTTAGTTTTACACGTACAATGACCATTGTCTTTAATACAGTTGTTGTTCTGACATCCACTACTACAGTTAAGACCACATCCCGAGCCATATCTACCTTGTGTACAGGAATCACATTTATTACCAGAAAAGTTAGTTTTACACGTACAATGACCATTATCTTTAGTACAGATGTTGTTCTGACATCCACTACTACAGTAAAGACCACAGTCCGTGTCATATCTGCCTTGTATACATGCATCGCATTTATTACCAGCAAAGTAAATTTTACACGTACAATTACCATTGTCTTTAGTACAGATGTTGTTCTGACATCCACTACTACAGTAAAGACCACAGTCCGTGTCATATCTGCCTTGTATACATGCATCGCATTTATTACCAGCAAAGTAAATTTTACACGTACAATTACCATTGTCTTTAGTACAGATGTTATTCTGACATCCACTACTACAGTAAAGATCACAGTTGGCACCATATCTACCACCAATACAATCATTACAAACACCTGTTTTACTACAACCACCAAAACACTGTTGACTACATGATTTATCACATTTATCTCCATACCATCCTACTTTACAACCATTATTACAAAAACCATCCCCCTGTCCACATCCTCCATTGCTACAGTTATTAGAACATTGTTGTTGACATGAGTTACCCCAATAACCATCAATACATCCACCATTACAAATACCAGATGTTGAATTACATAATCTATCTTTACAGTTGACGTCACACTGATTCTTACAGTCTACACCATAATACTGGTCTGGACAAACACCTGAAACATAACATAAATTCATCTCTGTTTAGATACATGTATATAGAAATTGATACAGACTGCACCATAATATTATTTTTTCTGAGAATACTCAAATAAATGATAATAAAGGTAACATGCTTACATCGTATTAGTTAGGGTAAGCAGAGATACGCAATTTGATTGGTTGATGCTTTGGGACACGATAACTTTAGTTCCAATTAAGTGAGAGTGATGAAACTTGGTGTATAGTTTCATTACATCATTACCTTGACTAAGTTCGATAATGAGCATTTTCTGCCCGGGGTAAGCAGAGCGATACGCAAATTGATTGGCGGAGACTTTGGGACACAATAACTCTCCTTCTAATTGAGCCAGAATGTTCAAACTTGGAGTAGTTGTTATTAGGTCAATGCCTTCATGGAGTTCGAAGATGAGCATAAGGTATGCAGAGATAAGCAATAAGATTGGTTGATGCTTTGGGACACGATAGCTTTAGTTCTAATTAAGCGAGAGTGAGGACACTTGGTGTATAGTTTTATTACATCAATACCTTGACTAAGTTCGATAATAATCATTTCCGATTTTGATTAGTCAGTGTAGTGGCTTCTAGTATGTTAATTGGACAATGGGGTCACGTGAGAGTATTTGGTTGCCTAAGGGTAAATGTCATTGGCTTATCTTGTTATTACGTGACAAAACACAGCTGTTTATTTAGATCAGTTGATTGACAGGTGTCAGAGTTATTGTTTAGTATAACTAGCATAACTTCTAATCTAAACGGGATTTTCATATCAACTTACTATTATTACCAATTTGAAACAAAATTAAAGATCTCAACTGAAATTCAAGGATATTTTCCTATTTCCGCGAAATTCAAGGATATTCAAGACCTTGAAAATGAAATTTTAAATTTAAGGATATTCAAGGATTTTCAAGGACCGCGGGAACCCTGTCATTACTAAAGTCGATACGATAAAAAACATAATCTCGATCATCCATTTCATGTTTAAATCATAAATGAAAGTTGAGCAGCAAATGCGATCCTAATCCAGTAAATATCACAGGCTAGCGTTGATATCGAGAGTTGATTATGGTCTGGATAGGTTAATTAATGTCTAATTAATAATTTAGATAACATTTCAGGTCTAAAGAAAGACCTGCAATAGGCAGATTTATCTCTTGCATAATGTATGTTTAAAGGACAAATATGCATGAGTCTTAATGGGGCGTTCCTAAATATGCATATATCCAAATCTTGAGCCGAATAGTAGTATCGTGTATTCGTATAAGTAAGTATTGAACTAATTTAAAACACGTTCCATATACGACAAGGCAAGACTTAAGTTATGAATATTAGATTAAAACATACCTTCTATCTGAATCACTTGAAATATTAAAATAAAAACACCTAGACTACACCATGACGCCATTTTACCAGCTAGTTGTACGTCTATAGCCTTTACATTGCAACCAGGAAGAAAAAGTAATCATTATCTAAAAAAAGGTCATGTCAAGGCTGAATGACTGACGTACAACAAAAAGGTGTTACCTAGGTATATTATGAGAACAAGGAAGGTATACATTCGTATAAAAGGAACATAACAATTAAGTAAGGTACATGTATATCAGGGGGATCACGGTGGCTAAGTGGGTAGGGCGCTGGCTCGCTAGCCTGGAGGTCGGGTGTTCGATCCCTGCATTGGCCGAGAAAGTTCATCCCGATTTTCTGGCGTGGTTCTCCCTTGTCAGTGATGCAGGACGGAGGGGCTGACAAGGACAGCTGTCTAGTCGTTCGGATGGGACGAAAAACCGAGGTCCCGTGTACTCATTGGCGTGCACGTAAAAGATCCCTTGACAGTTGGAATTCGATATAAGAGTAGGCCGTAGTGCCGCTGTCCGGGCAAAATTTCCCTCATAGCACACTGTATGGCGTATGCCCGTCTTCATTAGCCCAGTTCGGAGCAAAACAGTAGGACGTTAAACTCCATTTCATTTCATTTCACATGTATATCAGTAAGTATATACTGTTTCTTCGCTGTTTAAATATAGTGACGGGTATACCACTTAAAGCATAATTTCTTTCTTGAACATCTGATACCACTTTGCATTTGACAAATTTATACAGCTAACAAACTGTGTACTTTTGTATTTAAACTATTGTCGTTAGACTGATCATCGAATTATCCACCGTTTGCCCTGAAGAGTTACCGTACTTGTAGTCGCGTGTCACTTTGTGCTAAGTGAGAGGGACACAGTTACGAGCTTTGGGTAATGGTTTTGAGTTTCTGAGCCCCCTCTCAAATGGCAAAAAATCACGCGGTTTCAATGCGGTTTTCAACATTATAACCATAATCATAATGCTCAGGGGGATCACGTGGCTAAGTGGGTAAGACGCTGGCTCGCTAGCCTGGAGGTCGGGTCTTCGATCCCGACATTGGCCGAGAAAGTTCATCCAGATTTTCCAGCGTGGTTTCCCCGTGTCAGTGATGCAGGACGGAGGGCCTGACAAGGACAGCTGTCTAGTCGTTCGGATGGGACGAAAAACCGAGGTCCCGTGTACGCATTGGCGTGCACGTAAAAGATCCCTTGGCAATTGGAATTCGATATAAGAGTAGGCAGTAGTGCCGCTGCCCGGGCAGAATTTCCCTCATAGCACACTGTATGGCGTCTGCCCGTCTTCATTAGCCCAGTTTAGGAGCAGAACAGTAGGACGTTAAACCCTATTTCATTTCATTTCATAATGCTCAAACCGTGTGAAAGATATATCGTGGGTCAGATATGCTACAATTCGACTCTAGTATGTTCCACACAGCCCAATATTACCTGGTGGCACCGGTAGGGACTACCACCGCACCCCACCCCTCCCTCGCATACACATATAAATATTGTTTTGGGGGGCCTGGACGGGATCTTGTTCCTCATGCAAAATCATGGGTCACCACGCCCCAAAATCAATAGGGATGTGGGAGCGGCCGTGTTAATTGATGTAATAAAGAAGAACGGTGGAAACGGTACGACCGCGAAGGAAATAAAGAAGGGGTAGAACATAGAACCTTTGTCATTGGTAGAGAGAAAGAAAGCTGAGGAGTTTACGGTATATCTTGTTTGGGGTAATACTAGTGAATGGTTGGTATTATTTCAGGGTGTTTGGCACAGTAGGTACTATGTTCTCTGGGTTGTGGCAAGCAATAAAATAAGGGTGGATGGCGGGTCAGTCGGATGTATAGCTGTGAGTTAAGTAGGTGAAGTGGATATAAGTTTCGAGGCAATACTAGATATAAATAATTTTAAATCAACAGGCGTGCGGGGGGGGGGGGGGGGATTTCATTTTGTTAGGCATTTGATAGAGGGGCTTTCTTTTATAAAAGGACAAACTTACGGACCAATCGCCTTAGTGGCTTTTAAATGGTAAAGTTGTGGCTAGATTAAGGTGTCTTTTCTATTACTTCACTTCAGAAAGTTGAATGTAAATTCAAAAGCCTTGCATTTCCTATTTTTTTTTTAAAAAAAAAGCCGTGTTTAAGGAACAGGGTTTGTTCAATGACGTGTTCTCTGCTCAAGGGAAGCTATCCTAAAGACCATTTGTCCCGCGACGGTCGCAGGGTTTGATTGTGAGAGCATTTTATGTGTCCCTACTTATGTAGTCTTGAGTATTGTAACCAAGTCTCTTTTAGGTCTTCTTAAATCGAGTCCAAGTAACTTCTATACAATTTATTAAGCCTCGATTAATGAATTACTTTACAATAGTTGGGGTCTAGCTAGAACAATGGTTGGGTTGTAAAGAATTTCACCAATGACCAGTAGGGGACCCCTCTATTGTTAAGATTTCAGTATCTGTTTAATTCAACAAGGAATATATAGAAAACATATGGAGTAAACCGCTTTGTTAATCAAATGATAATCCGCCCCATTGCATTGACATCTAAGAAGACCAAAAAAAAAAAATACATTGTTTCACATGCTGGAGATATCGGGTACTCGCTTCTACAACAATTGTGACCGGTTTGTACCTTCAAATATTACAAGAGTCTGCTGGAATGGTTCTTCAATCTTTAATACTGCATACAATTACGGGACCGCGGATAACCGATTAGAACCTAATATGTCGGGTGGATTTAAAAGACTCATCTAATCAATAGTTTGGACATAAACAATCATTGATGTAATAGTTTACAATATCAGAAATACAAAAAAAATGGCAAAAAAAAACAATTTATAAATTAAGGACACGGCTGACATTTTCACAATAAAGGATTATAATATATACATATCGATGGCATTAAATAACGTTATTTCATACTTCGCTAGTTACTGAGACGCTGGATCGCTAGCCTGGGGGTAGCGGGTTGGTTTCCGGTGTTGGCCGAGAAAGTTCATCGGGATTTTTCGGCGTGGTTTCCCCTCGTAAGTGGTGAATGAAGGAGGGCCTGACAAGTAAAGCTGTTTGGCTGTTGGAATGGGACGAAAAACCGAGGTCCCGTGTACAGAATTCCCGTGGCCGTAATGCCACTGTCAGTTCTAAATTTCCCTCATAGCACACTTTATGGGGCATGCCAGTCTTCATTAACCCAGTTGGGCGTTAAACCCCATTTCATTTCACCTTTTAATAGCACACATACGATTAATGTTTTGAGAGAACAGTAATTGTCCCGAAAATTTAGTTTGAAGCCCATTGTTACTATTAGAACTGTTAAAGGTGCATTATGTAAGATTTAGATAAAGAACTGACAATTCTCGCTCATATTCCTGAATCAATGGCTCGAGAAAACCCTCTCTGGCCATTGCTGGGTTGGCTTCTGAATCTTGAGCTTTTGAGGGAGTGTGTCTATTCTTCCCGTTCAATCAAATCTATCTAAAGTACAGCAACACGACAGCCCTTCGTTTAATCTGGGGTCTTCCCTAAAACTTTGGAAAGTGATTTAAGATATTTAAAACAGTGAAACCATTGTTCGTCTCCAAACAGTATTGTTTACATTGAATTCGTTTTGATAGCCTCTTTTGTCACGCAATTAGTTTTTCTGCAGTATTCCGCTATGTACTGGTTAATTGGGCATACTAAAATCGTGAGTCATGACGTAACGTTATGTAAACATATTTGGTCCAATTTGGAGCTCTGTTTAAAGCATAATGCTATTGTTACGCAGTTAGCTATTGGTTGTTAATCGGACTATTGACCAGTCATAATTTAGAACAGATATTTGCTTCCTTTACAGCATTGTTAAGTGGATTTAGGTCTAATCAAACGAAACACTGCGAGGAGTATGATTTTCGCTATATAAGTTTAAAAATGGATAATGAAAAAAGGAATATATAGAAAATTTCTGAGCTAAATAATCAATATTGAAAGTTTTGATAAAAATAGCGTAGTCTCGATTTTCATTACTACCATTGTTATAATGATATTATCCATTGTTAAATTAAATTATTAAATGTCTACCAATTCATTAAAAACCAAGGCCATCCAATGTTCTTGGGAGTTGATTATGGGCTTGGCATGTGAATACATGTCTAATTAATGATTCATATAACATCTGAGGTCAATTGAAATACCTACAATAGACAGATTTAGCTCTTACATTCTCTTAAGTAGTATCTGATATATTCCAAATTATTTAAGATTTTTTTAAAAATATTCTATGTATATAAATTGTTGCAGAAGAATGCCATAACCGGCACGGTTATTAATACTTTATCAAGAAGTGTTTGTTGTTAAAAAAATAAGTAATATATGTCTAGGAGTACCACCAGTGCAGGTAGGTATATTATTTCGACATCAATAGCAATAAGATATTTAACATAAAGCAGACTATATAGATACAGTCTGACACAATACCGTTTTATTGAGAAAGTTTGTGTAAATATTTGAAAATTGCCCCGTGTATATATAATGACATTCAATGGTCTATTTATAATCTATAATCTATACATTTGGTGGTCGCAATAACAGGTATCAATGAACTGTTTATATTAGTACAGAATATATATATATATATATCTTTAAACCCATTGATCGTCATTAATTTGTATTTTTCAATCACGTTCGTAATCCTCGCTAAAATGTGCACACATTTAATATCTTACATAATATTAAGAGAATAAAATTAAAATCTCAACGAAAGATAATCTACCAGGTCCGTCATTTCATCACACATGAGTAAATACTGATCTGAATTGAACATGTTCGGACTGACATTCAACATTCACAATCGTATAGTCTGCAAGAAATAACGGACCTCTCAAATGACGATCAGCTACGTTAGAATAATTGCTATACGTTTATAAGTTAAAGCACAGACAAACAAAAACGAATCTGCACTTTGTAAGGATGTTCTAAAAGCTCCGTAAAATTAATCTGAAACATAGTTCTTATCATGAAGTTGTGCAAGTAGAATGTCTAAGAACATGGCCTGGGTCTCTTATCATTGAGACAAAACTAGATGGGTTTTCAACATTTGAGAACAACTAGATCATTGGCTAGATTATCCGGTATTTTACATCATCATGTACTCTTTAAGGGAGGTAACTAGCCCCAAAACAAAAATGACGACGCCCATGAAATTCATTTAAGAATTGCCATTTTAGAAAAATCTATTTGTTTTTATTGTGAAATTTCTCTGTTCTAGGATCATATCTATGGTTCTTATTAATACTAATTCATCGTCAGAATTCATATTTTGTTTTACAATAATGCATGAATATTATAGAGATAGCGTCTATAACTTAGTTGTAAGTTTTTGTTTAATATTTTGCTGAACATCTCTGCTTACTTGTTTGAGTCCAGTATCTGCTCCTTTGAACACAAGAAGACCAATGAAATGAAATTCAGGAACAAATAAGAAAACTTCTGGGCTTACTCGCCCATCAATATTTCAATATTTAATAATTCTCTATTTGTAAGAACCCAAAAGTCAACATTCATATATGGTGTTGAGTAAGTACAAATAACACAGTGTCTAACTATATTCCTCCAAGGTGCCTTAACAAGACCGTTGGCAGGGAACGTAGAAAACCATTAATTATAAACCAAATCAACATAACTGCCAAATTTGGTTTGTATCTACCAAATGACACAGAAAACGTTTAAATTTATCTTGTCAAGGCACCCGTTATCCAACTTCTTCCGATGAACTATAGTTAAATAATAACTGACCAATCAATTACTAAGTTTGATTGAGATCCATAGAGCACTTTAGGTCAAATGTATGAAAATGTGTAAATTTGCCCTTTTTCAAGAGTCATGCACCTCATTTGAACTAATATGAATAATAATTAACATCATTGTTGCGATAATATTTACAGCTATATAAGTCTTTTATTCTATTTAATTAGGATAGGAAATCATCTGAACTAAATTACAACTAAATCTATGACCATTACATATGCCTGATATTTTTAACAACCATGTTCTGCATGTGATCAAACAAATCCAAATCCGCCCTTCTACACTATATATTACACTTTTGTTTTATTGTAAACCAAGGTTTACATATGCAGGATCTGGATTTAATGTTTGATATTGATTTGCTGCTTCATCTTGTTGAATTGAAACTTGTTGTAGAGTATCATAAGTAATATCATCAGATGTAGAGTTATCTCCTCCTGTTGTTGATGTATTTATAGTAGACTGATTATTATATCTATAACCACGTGATTCACTGGTTTGTTTAGACGACTGATTTCTGAAAATCAAAATAAACCGATATCATCCATATTATCATCATTTATAATTAATTCACTAGATTGCCAACAGTATCTATGCCGTCCGTGTCATTGTCACAATGATATTTGTGTATAACTTTTTGTCTAGAAATGTGGACGGTACAAGGGTTAAGGCCCGGTCCCGCTGCACTTACGGATGCAAAGAGGATGTAAAACGGGAAAAAAACGTGTCCTCCGTTTGAAAACGCCATGCATCCGTTGTGTACTCATTGCATACGTGTTTCATACCCTCTATCCATCGAGCATCCGTTCACTTTGATTTCATCCGCGCAAAAAGTTATAACGGTTGAACTTTCTGCCGTGTACGATATAAATGCGCGACATATACGACCTTTAAACGTTCCTATCCGTTATCATCCGTTAAGCGTCCACTGAATCCTCTCTGCATCCTCTGGGCCACTGGGACCGGGCCTTAATGCACTTACTTACACTGAGGTATTATTAAATCGAAACGTTAAAATATGTCTTACCTTCTGATTCAGACTTATATCAAAGTGTAAGATGAATACACATTTATATAATTTTATATCTTACCTTTTAACTATATAGCAATATACTGTAATACATATTACTAATGTAACAACTATACCAAATATAGCACCAATAACACCACCTACAACTGGACTAACTTCTTCATCAGCTGTATCTTTATCTTAAATTATAAAACCACAATACCTCCACATTAGTAGCTATATTTCCTATGAGCACTGACACCTCAAATAATGGGACTTTGTGTAGAAATATTTGTACTTGACTACTCATCCCTTTTTAAAGGGATGTCATAATACATCTGCTTACTTTAAAGAATAGTTTCAGGTACTAGACAGACTCGAATCAAGAGCCCCCAAGCTTTACATGTGTTTTAAACATACTGTAAAATGAAATGTAGAAGTGGATATTGTCTAAATCCCCGTCCCCTCCACCCCACCCCATCCCCAGCCACTTTGACGTTTAATATGGACTATCTATTCATTCGATGGTACACTTAGCACGAACCACCTTAATTTGATTTTACTGGGGACGCGGAATAGATGGAACGAAGACATAAATATATAACGTGTCTCATTTATGTAAAAGGATAACACTTGGCAATTTTGCGTTTTCTGCGTTCCGGATATTGCTAACACTGCTACCTGCATTACTAAGCTGAAAGGCTTTTTCGCTCGTATTCGTTTCTAAATTCTATCAGTGTTATAAATCTAAAATATTGTATGAAAAATAAAGGGTCCCTCCCTCCTGAAAAATTAGGATTGTCAACATACGAGGTTTTAGAATCACGATATGATATGTCAATGCATCTTCAGATGTGTAGTCAATCCCCTCTCTGGGTTCAGTCAACTATGAAATTACAGAGAAACCAGGAATGTACAGTTAGGTATGGATTCACATTTCGCATATCCTCTTAGATCTCAGATAAAAACTCCACTGTGTAGGTATTACATGCATGACTACTTCGATTTTAAAATCAATTTTAATATATATCTTACGTTTAATAGCATGACAAGTATCTCCTGTATAACCTTCTATACATCCAACTAAACCACAACTTCCTCTGGTTATCTCACATGATGCATTCTGAGCACAATTTCCACAGGTTCTGTTACAATTCTCACTATAAAATCCCCAAGTACAATCTGAAATAATTTACACCCTGTATACATACATGTAGGCTATACTATACGAATGGGTAAAGATGTTATATCACCTTTCCTGAATGTCACGATTCTTACATTTTATAACTATTTATGAAATAGGTGATTTGAATCGATGACGTTCTCTAGAAGTTTTGGAATATCTGCACCGAAGATATAGATCTTCAAAAGGAGGACATTTGGTGTGGATTTATATAGAAATATTTGTACTTGACTACTCATCCCTTGTTAAATGGATGTCATAATACATATGCTTACTTTAAAGAATAGTTTCAGGTACTAGACAAACTCGAATCAAGAGCCCCCAAGCTTTACATGTGTTTTAAACATACTGTAAAATGAAATGTAGAAGTGGATATTGTCTTAATCCCCGTCCCCTCCACCCCACCCCACCCCCAGCCCAGCCACTTTGACGTTTATGGAACTATATATTACGTTTACTTTCTAAATAGCCCAAATAGACATCTTGAAAACAGTATCGGTTGCACAATTATTTTTCGAATTAAACCCCGCGTATCTTGGTTATATTTATGAAAGAGTAAATACTAATTGGAGGTATACATATCTTACTTTTGGAGCAGTCCATTCCCATTTTACCCTCCACACAGCCACCGGAACAGTCTCCGTTTTCTTGATAACAGGAACCGTGTTTACAGTTCAAACTACACGTGTAATTACATGCTGTTCCATAATATTTTCCATATATACATTGAGAACAGTTGTTGATATCATCTTGATTACAAATAGTACAGTTATCTTTACAATCTTTATCACAGGTATCTCCACTGTACCCTTTAATACATAAACTACATTTACCATTAGTTCTATCACATCTACCATCACATGTTTTACTACAGTTCTTATCACATCTATCACCATATCTTCCTACAATACATTCAGTACATCTACCTTTACTCCTACTACAGTTGCCATCACATGTTGTACTACAATTCCAATCACAGCCATCGCCATATCTTCCCACAATACATTCAGTACACCTACCATCTCTATTACATGTTTCTCGAGTCCCGTCTGTAATTGGTAGACATTCAGCACCACATGTAGAATTACAATATAGACCAACTGTAATAGGTTTACAGCCACCACATTTACCCTCGTCCCTGGTACAAGTTTCTTTACAGTTAACAGGACATGGTTTATTACAATCATCACCAAATATTCCTGATATACATTCTATACATCTACCTGTTGATTTATTACATTCTTCAGTACAGTTACTAGAACATCTAGTTTTACAGTTAGTACCATGGTAACCTTGTATACAGCTAGAACATTGTCCTGTAGTCCTGTCACAGTTACCCATACAGTTAGTAACTATACATGTTGACTGACAGTTAGTACCATGGTAACCGTGTATACATGATTCACATTTGTTACCAGAAAATTCAGATTCACAGGTACAATATCCATTATCTTTATTGCAGATGTTGTTCTGACACCCACTACTACAGATATCTTGACAGTTGGTACCATATCTACCTTGTATACATGATTCGCATTTATTACCAGAAAAGTTAGTTTTACACGTACAATGACCATTGTCTTTAGTACAGATGTTGTTCTGACATCCACTACTACAGTTAAGACCACATCCCGAGCCATATCTACCTTGTATACATGAATCACATTTATTACCAAAAAAGTTAGTTTTACAACTACAATGACCATTGTCTCTAGTACAGATGTTGTCCTGACACCCACTACTACAGTAAAGATCACAGTTGGTACCATATCTACCTTGTATACATGAATCGCATTTATTACCAGAAAAGTTAGTTTTACACGTACAATGACCATTGTCTTTAGTACAGATGTTGTTCTGACACCCACTACTACAGTAAAGATCACAGTTGGTACCATATCTGCCTTGTATACATGAATCACATTTATTACCAAAAAAGTTAGTTTTACAACTACAATGACCATTGTCTCTAGTACAGATGTTGTCCTGACACCCACTACTACAGTAAAGATCACAGTTGGTACCATATCTGCCTTGTATACATGCATCGCATTTATTACTCAAAAAGTTAGTTTTACACGTACAATAACCATTGTCTCTAGTACAGATGTTGTCCTGACACCCACTACTACAGTAAAGATCACAGTTGGTACCATATCTACCTTGTATACATGATTCGCATTTATTACCAGAAAAGTTAGTTTTACACGTACAATGACCATTGTCTTTAGTACAGATGTTGTTCTGACATCCACTACTACAAGGATATTCAAGACCTTGAAAATGAAATTTTAAATTTAAGGATATTCAAGGATTTTCAAGGACCGCGGGAACCCTGTCATTACTAAAGTCGATACGATAAAATACATAATCTCGATCATCCATTTCATGTTTAAATCATAAATGAAAGTTGAGCAGCAAATGCGATCCTAATACAGTAAATATCACAGGCTAGCGTTGATATCGAGAGTTGATTATGGTCTGGATAGGTTAATTAATGTCTAATTAAGAATTTAGGTAACATTTCAGGTCTAAAGAAAGACCTGCAATAGGCAGATTTATATCTTGCATAATGTATGTTTAAAGGACAAATATGCATGAGTCTTAATGGGGCGTTCCTAAATATGCATATATCGAAATCTTGAGCCGAATAGTAGTATCGTGTATTCGTATAAGTAAGTATTGAACTAATTTAAAACACGTTCCATATACGACAAGGCAAGACTTAAGTTATGAATATTAGATTAAAACATACCTTCTATCTGAATCACTTGAAATATTAAAATAAAAACACCTAGACTACACCATGACGCCATTTTACCAGCTAGTTGTACGTCTATAGCCTTTACATTGCAACCAGGAAGAAAAAGTAATCATTATCTAAAAAAAGGTCGTGTAAAGACTGAATGATTGACGTACAACAAAAAGGAGTTACCTAGGTATATTATGAGAACAAGGAAGGTATACATTCGTATAAAGGGAACATAACAATTAAGTAAGGTACATGTATATCAGTAAGTATATACTGTTTCTTCGCTGTTTAAATATAGTGACGGGTATACCACTTAAAGCATAATTTCTTTCTTGAACATCTGATACCACTTTGCATTTGACAAATTTATACAGCTAACAAACTGTGTACTTTTGTATTTAAACTATTGTCGTTAGACTGATCATCGAATTATCCACCGTTTGCCCTGAAGAGTTACCGTACTTGTAGTCGCGTGTCACTTGGTGCGAAGACACCGACTCGTCAAGACACAGCCCGCCAGTGCACTGCCATTGAAACGAGCGATGTCAACAACACGGGGGCTAAGTGAGAGGGACACAGTTACGAGCTTTGGGTAATGGTTTTGAGTTTCTGCGCCCCCTCTCAAATGGCAAAAAATCACGCGGTTTCAATGCGGTTTTCAACATTATAACCATAATCATAATGCTCAGGGGGATCACGTGGCTAAGTGGGTAAGACGCTGGCTCGCTAGCCTGGAGGTCGGGTCTTCGATCCCGACATTGGCCGAGAAAGTTCATCCAGATTTTCCAGCGTGGTTTCCCCGTGTCAGTGATGCAGGACGGAGGGCCTGACAAGGACAGATGTCTAGTCGTTCGGATGGGACGAAAAACCGAGGTCCCGTGTACGCATTGGCGTGCACGTAAAAGATCCCTTGGCAATTGGAATTCGATATAAGAGTAGGCAGTAGTGCCGCTGCCCGGGCAGAATTTCCCTCATAGCACACTGTATGGCGTCTGCCCGTCTTCATTAGCCCAGTTTAGGAGCAGAACAGTAGGACGTTAAACCCCATTTCATTTCATTTCATAATGCTCAAACCGTGTGAAAGATATATCGTGGGTCAGATATGCTACAATTCGACTCTAGTATGTTCCACACAGCCCAATATTACCTGGTGGCACCGGTAGGGACTACCACCCCACCCCACCCCTCCCTCGCATACACATATAAATATTGTTTTGGGGGGCCTGGACGGGATCTTGTTCCTCATGCAAAATCATGGGTCACAACGCCCCAAAATCAATAGGGATGTGGGAGCGGCCGTGTTAATTGATGTAATAAAGAAGAACGGTGAAAACGGTACGCCCGCGAAGGAAATAAAGAAGGGGTAGAACATAGAACCTTTGTCATTGGTAGAGATAAAAAGAAGAAAAGCTGAGGAGTTTAAGGTATATCTTGTTTGGGGTAATACTAGTGAATGGTTGGTATTATTTCAGGATGTTTGGCACAGTAGGTACTATGTTCTCTGGGTTGTGGCAAGCAATAAAATAAGGGTGGATGGCGGGTCAGTCTGATGTATAGCTGTGAGTTAAGTAGGTGAAGTGGATATAAGTTTCGAGGCAATACTAGATATAAATAATTTTAAATCAACAGGCGTGCGGGGGGGGGGGGGGGATTTCATTTTGTTAGGCATTTGATAGAGGGGCTTTCTTTTATAAAAGGACAAACTTACGGACCAATCGCCTTAGTGGCTTTTAAATGGTAAAGTTGTGGCTAGATTAAGGTGTCTTTTCTATTACTTTACTTCAGAAAGTTGAATGTAAATTCAAAAGCCTTGCATTTCCTTTTTTTTTAAAAAAAAAGCCGTGTTTAAGGGAACAGGGTTTGTTCAATGACGTGTTCTCTGCTCAAGGGAAGCTATCCTAAAGACCATTTGTCCCGCGATGGTCGCAGGGTTTGATTGTGAGAGCAATTTATATGTCCCTACTTATGTAGTCTTGAGTATTGTAACCAAGTCTCTTTTAGGTCTTCTTAAATCGAGTCCAAGTAACTTCTATACAATTTATTAAGCCTCGATTAATGAATTACTTTACAATAGTTTGGGTCTAGAACAATAGTTGGGTTGTAAAGAATTTCACCAATGACCAGTAGGGGACCCCTCTATTGTTAAGATTTCAGTATCTGTTTAATTCAACAAGGAATATATAGAAAACATATGGAGTAAACCGCTTTGTTAATCAAATGATAATCCGACCCATTGCATTGACATCGCTTCTACAACAATTGTGACCGGTTTGTACCTTCAAATATTACAAGAATCTGCTGGAATGGTTCTTCAATCTTTAATTCTGCATACAATTACGGGACCGCGGATAACCGACTAGAACCTAATATGTCGGGTGGATTTAAAAGACTCATCTAATCAATAGGTTGGACATAAACAATCATTGATGTAATAGTTTACAATATTAGAAATACAAAAAAAATGGCAAAAAAAACAATTTATAAATTAAGGACACGGCTGACATTTTCACAATAAAGGATTATAATATATACATATCGATGGCATTAAATAACGTTATTTCATACTTCGCTAGTTACTGAGACGCTGGATCGCTAGCCTGGGGGTAGCGGGTTGGTTTCCGGTGTTGGCCGAGAAAGTTCATCGGGATTTTTCGGTGTGGTTTCCCCTCGTAAGTGGTGAATGAAGGAGGGCCTGACAAGTAAAGCTGTTTGGCTGTTGGAATGGGACGAAAAACCGAGGTCCCGTGTACAGAATTCCCGTGGCCGTAATGCCACTGTCAGTTCTAAATTTCCCTCATAGCACACTTTATGGGGCATGCCAGTCTTCATTAACCCAGTTGGACGTTAAACCCCATTTCATTTCATTTCATTTCATTTCATTTCACCTTTTAATAGCACACATACGATTAATGTTTTGAGAGAACAGTAATTGTCCCGAAAATTTAGTTTGAAGCCCATTGTTACTATTAGAACTGTTAAAGGTGCATTATGTAAGATTTAGATAAAGAACTGACAATTCTCGCTCATATTCCTGAATCAATGGCTCGAGAAAACCCTCTCTGGCCATTGCTGGGTTGGCTTCTGGATCTTGAGCTTTTGAGGGAGTGTGTCTATTCTTCCCGTTCAATCAAATCTATCTAAAGTACAGCAACACGACAGCCCTTCGTTTAATCTGGGGTCTTCCCTAAAACTTTGGACAGTGATTTAAGATATTTAAAACGCTGAAACCATTGTTCGTCTCCAAACAGTATTGTTTACATTGAATTCGTTTTGATAGCCTCGTTTGTCACGCAATTAGTTTTTCTGCAGTATTCTGCTATGTACTGGTTAATTGGGCATACTAAAATCGTGAGTCATGACGTAACGTTATGTAAACATATTTGGTCCAATTTGGAGCTCTGTTTAAAGCATAATGCTATTGTTACGCAGTTAGCTATTGGTTGTTAATCGGACTATTGACCAGTCATAATTTAGAACAGATATTTGCTTCCTTTACAGCATTGTTAAGTGGATTTAGGTCTAATCAAACGAAACACTGCGAGGAGTATAATTTTCGCTATATAAGTTTAAAAATGGATAATGAAAAAAGGAATATATAGAAAATTTCTGAGCTAAATAATCAATATTGGAAGTTTTGATAAAAATAGCGTAGTCTCGATTTTCATTACTACCATTGTTATGATGATATTATCCATTGTTAAATTAAATTATTAACTGTCTACCAATTCGTTAAAAACCAAGGCCATCCAATGTTCTTGGGAGTTGATTATGGGCTTGGCATGTGAATACATGTCTAATTAATGATTCATATAACATCTGAGGTCAATTGAAATACCTACAATAGACAGATTTAGCTCTTACATTCTCTTAAGTAGTATCTGATATATTCCAAATTATTTAAGTTTTTTAAAAAAATATTCTATGTATATAAATTGTTGCAGAAGAATGCCATAACCGGCACGGTTATTAATACTTTATCAAGAAGTGTTTGTTGTTAAAAAAATAAGTAATATATGTTTAGGAGTACCACCAGTGCAGGTAGGTATATTATTTCGACATCAATAGCAATAAGATATTTAACATAAAGCAGACTATATAGATACAGTCTGACACAATACCGTTTTATTGAGAAAGTTTGTGTAAATATTTGAAAATTGCCCCGTGTATATATAATGACATTCAATGGTCTATTTATAATCTATAATCTATACATTTGGTGGTCTCAATAACAGGTATCAATGAACTGTTTATATTAGTACAGAATATATATATATATATATATATCTTTAAACCCATTGATCGTCATTAATTTGTATTTTTCAATCACGTTCGTAATCCTCGCTAAAATGTGCACACATTTAATATCTTACATAATATTAAGAGAATAAAATTAAAATCTCAACGAAAGATAATCTACCAGTATGGATTTAGTAAGATTAAATAGAGGTCCGTCATTTCATCACACATGTGTAAATACTGATCTGAATTGAACATGTTCGGACTGACATTCAACATTCACAATCGTATAGTCTGCAAGAAATAACGGACATCTCAAATGACGATCAGCTACGTTAGAATAATTGCTATACGTTTATAAGTTAAATCACAGACAAACAAAAGCGAATCTGCACTTTGTAAGGATGTTCTAAAAACTCCGTAAAATTAATCTGAAACATAGTTCTTATCATGAAGTTGTGCAAGTAGAATGTCTAAGAACATGGCCTGGGTCTCTTATCATTGAGACAAAACTAGATGGGTTTTCAACATTTGAGAACAACTAGATCATTGGCTAGATTATCCGGTATTTTACATCATCATGTACTCTTTAAGGGAGGTAACTAGCCCCAAAACAAAAATGACGACGCCCATGAAATTCATTTAAGAATTGCCATTTCAGAAAAATCTATTTGCATTGCCTGTTCAATATAAAATACAACACTACTATTTGTTTTTATTGTGAAATTTCTCTGTTCTAGGATCATATCTATGGTTCTTATTAATACTAATTCATCGTCAGAATTCATATTTTGTTTTACAATAATGCATGAATATTATAGAGATAGCGTCTATAACTTAGTTGTAAGTTTTGGTTTAATATTTTGCTGAACATCTCTGCTTACTTGTTTGAGTCCAGTATCTGCTCCTTTGAACACAAGAAGACCAATGAAATGAAATTCAGGAACAAATAAGAAAACTTCTGGGCTTACTCGCCCATCAATATTTCAATATTTAATAATTCTCTATTTGTAAGAACCCAAAAGTCAACATTCATATATGGTGTTGAGTAAGTACAAATAACACAGTGTCTAACTATATTCCTCCAAGGTGCCTAAACAAGACCGTTGGCAGGGAACGTAGAAAACCATTAATTATAAACCAAATCAACATAACTGCCAGATTTGGTTTGTATCTACCAAATGACACAGAAAACGTTTAAATTTATCTTGTCAAGGCACCCGTTATCCAACTTCTTCCGATGAACTATAGTTAAATAATAACTGACCAATCAATTACTAAGTTTGATTGAGATCCATAGAGCACTTTAGGTCAAATGTATGAAAATGTGTAAATTTGCCCCTTTTCAAGAGCCATGCACCTCATTTGAACTAATATGAATAATAATTAACATTATTGTTGCGATAATATTTACAGCTATATAAGTCTTTTATTCTATATTAGGATAGGAAATCATCTGAACTAAATTACAACTAAATCTATGACCATTACATATGCCTGATATTTTTAACAACCATGTTCTGCATGTGATCAAACAAATCCAAACCCGCCCTTCTACACTATATATTACACTTTTGTTTTATTGTAAACCAAGGTTTACATATGCAGGATCTGGATTTAATGTTTGATATTGATTTGCTGCTTCATCTTGTTGAATTGAAACTTGTTGTAGAGTATCATAAGTAATATCATCAGATGTAGAGTTATCTCCTCCTGTTGTTGATGTATTTATAGTAGACTGATTATTATATCTATAACCACGTGATTCATTGGTTTGTTTAGACGACTGATTTCTGAAAATCAAAATAAACCGATATCATCCATATTATCATCATTTATAATTAATTCACTAGATTGCCAACAGTATCTATGCCGTCCGTGTCATTGTCACAATGATATTTGTGTATAACTTTTTGTCTAGAAATGTGGACGGCACAAGGGTTAAGGCCCGGTCCCACTGCTCTTGCGGATGCAAAGAGGATGTAAAACGGGGAAAAAACGTGTCCTCCGTTTGAAAACGCCATGCATCCGTTGTGTACTCATTGCATACGTGTTTCATACGCTCTATCCATCGAACATCCGTTCAGTTTGATTTCATCCGCGCAAAAAGTTATAACGGATGAACTTTCTGCCGTGTACGATATAAATGCGCGACATATACGAGCATTAAACGTTCCATGTCCGTTATCATCCGTTAAGCGTCCACTGAATCCTCTCTGCATCCTCGCAACTCACATCCGCTCCAGCTGAAAATGGAAAGAGAGAGGAAAGATAAGGTACATGGACCGTCTATACATCGTTAGTAGCACGGAAATAGAAAGGATGTAAGCGTATGCATCTCATATATAAAGTTTTCAAATTTTCGTCAATTTTGTCCATTTCTGGAGCGGATGAAAACGGATGGAGCCACCCCCGAAAGTTTGCTCGTCCGCTGTGTTTTTTTTGCATACGTTTTGTGCCCATCGGCCACTGGGACCGGGCCTTAATGCACTTACTTACACTGAGGTATTATTAAATCGAAACGTTAAAATATGTCTTACCTTCTGATTCAGACTTATATCAAAGTGTAAGATGAATACACATTTATATAATTTAATTTTATATCTTACCTTTTAACTATATAGCAATATACTGTAATACATATTACTAATGTAACAACAATACCAAATATAGCACCAATAACACCACCTACAACTGGACTAACTTCTTCATCAGCTGTATCTTTATCTTAAATTATAAAACCACAATACCTCAACATTAGTAGCTATATTTCCTATGAGCACTGACAGCTTAAATAATGGGACTTTGTGTAGAAATATTTGTACTTGACTACTCATCCCTTTTTAAAGGGATGTCATAATACATCTGCTTACTTTAAAGAATAGTTTCAGGTACTAGACAAACTCGAATCAAGAGCCCCCAAGCTTTACATGTGTTTTAAACATACTGTAAAATGAAATGTAGAAGTGGATATTGTCTAAATCCCCGTCCCCACCACCCCACCCCAAGCCACTTTGACGTTTATGGAACTATATATTACGTTTACTTTCTAAATAGCCCAAATAGACATCTTGAAAACAGTATCGGTTGCACAATTATTTTTCGAATTAAACCCCGCGTACCTTGGTTATATTTATGAAAGAGTAAATACTAATTGGAGGTATACATATCTTACTTTTGGAGCAGTCCATTCCCATTTTACCCTCCACACAGCCACCGGAACAGTCTCCGTTTTCTTGATAACAGGAACCGTGTTTACAGTTCAAACTACACGTGTAATTACATGCTGTTCCATAATATTTTCCATATATACATTGAGAACAGTTGTTGATATCATCTTGATTACAAATAGTACAGTTATCTTTACAATCTTTATCACAGGTATCTCCACTGTACCCTTTAATACATAAACTACATTTACCATTAGTTCTATCACATCTACCATCACATGTTTTACTACAGTTCTTATCACATCTATCACCATATCTTCCTACAATACATTCAGTACATCTACCTTTACTCCTACTACAGTTGCCATCACATGTTGTACTACAATTCCAATCACAGCCATCGCCATATCTTCCCACAATACATTCAGTACACCTACCATCTCTATTACATGTTTCTCGAGTGCCGTCTGTAATTGGTAGACATTCAGCACCACATGTAGAATTACAATATAGACCAACTGTAATAGGTTTACAGCCACCACATTTACCCTCGTCCCTGGTACAAGTTTCTTTACAGTTAACAGGACATGGTTTATTACAATCATCACCAAATATTCCTGATATACATTCTATACATCTACCTGTTGATTTATTACATTCTTCAGTACAGTTACTAGAACATCTAGTTTTACAGTTAGTACCATGGTAACCTTGTATACAGCTAGAACATTGTCCTGTAGTCCTGTCACAGTTACCCATACAGTTAGTAACTATACATGTTGACTGACAGTTAGTACCATGGTAACCGTGTATACATGATTCACATTTGTTACCAGAAAATTCAGATTCACAGGTACAATATCCATTATCTTTATTGCAGATGTTGTTCTGACACCCACTACTACAGATATCTTGACAGTTGGTACCATATCTACCTTGTATACATGATTCGCATTTATTACCAGAAAAGTTAGTTTTACACGTACAATGACCATTGTCTTTAGTACAGATGTTGTTCTGACACCCACTACTACAGTAAAGATCACAGTTGGTACCATATCTGCCTTGTATACATGAATCACATTTATTACCAAAAAAGTTAGTTTTACAACTACAATGACCATTGTCTCTAGTACAGATGTTGTCCTGACACCCACTACTACAGTAAAGATCACAGTTGGTACCATATCTGCCTTGTATACATGCATCGCATTTATTACCCAAAAAGTTAGTTTTACACGTACAATAACCATTGTCTCTAGTACAGATGTTGTCCTGACACCCACTACTACAGTAAAGATCACAGTTGGTACCATATCTACCTTGTATACATGATTCGCATTTATTACCAGAAAAGTTAGTTTTACACGTACAATGACCATTGTCTTTAGTACAGATGTTGTTCTGACATCCACTACTACAGTTAAGACCACATCCCGAGCCATATCTACCTTGTATACATGAATCACATTTATTACCAAAAAAGTTAGTTTTACAACTACAATGACCATTGTCTCTAGTACAGATGTTGTCCTGACACCCACTACTACAGTAAAGATCACAGTTGGTACCATATCTGCCTTGTATACATGCATCGCATTTATTACCCAAAAAGTTAGTTTTACACGTACAATAACCATTGTCTCTAGTACAGATGTTGTCCTGACACCCACTACTACAGATCTCTTGACAGTTGGTACCATATCTACCGTGTATACATGATTCACATTTGTTACCAGAAAATTCAGATTCACAGGTACAATATCCATTATCTTTATTGCAGATGTTGTTCTGACACCCACTACTACAGATATCTTGACAGTTGGTACCATATCTACCTTGTATACATGATTCGCATTTATTACCAGAAAAGTTAGTTTTACACGTACAATGACCATTGTCTTTAGTACAGATGTTGTTCCGACATCCACTACTACAGTTAAGACCACATCCCGAGCCATATCTACCTTGTATACAAGGATATTCAAGACCTTGAAAATGAAATTTTAAATTTAAGGATATTCAAGGATTTTCAAGGACCGCGGGAACCCTGTCATTACTAAAGTCGATACGATAAAATACATAATCTCGATCATCCATTTCATGTTTAAATCATAAATGAAAGTTGAGCAGCAAATGCGATCCTAATACAGTAAATATCACAGGCTAGCGTTGATATCGAGAGTTGATTATGGTCTGGATAGGTTAATTAATGTCTAATTAAGAATTTAGGTAACATTTCAGGTCTAAAGAAAGACCTGCAATAGGCAGATTTATATCTTGCATAATGTATGTTTAAAGGACAAATATGCATGAGTCTTAATGGGGCGTTCCTAAATATGCATATATCGAAATCTTGAGCCGAATAGTAGTATCGTGTATTCGTATAAGTAAGTATTGAACTAATTTAAAACACGTTCCATATACGACAAGGCAAGACTTAAGTTATGAATATTAGATTAAAACATACCTTCTATCTGAATCACTTGAAATATTAAAATAAAAACACCTAGACTACACCATGACGCCATTTTACCAGCTAGTTGTACGTCTATAGCCTTTACATTGCAACCAGGAAGAAAAAGTAATCATTATCTAAAAAAAGGTCGTGTCAAGACTGAATGATTGACGTACAACAAAAAGGAGTTACCTAGGTATATTATGAGAACAAGGAAGGTATACATTCGTATAAAGGGAACATAACAATTAAGTAAGGTACATGTATATCAGTAAGTATATACTGTTTCTTCGCTGTTTAAATATAGTGACGGGTATACCACTTAAAGCATAATTTCTTTCTTGAACATCTGATACCACTTTGCATTTGACAAATTTATACAGCTAACAAACTGTGTACTTTTGTATTTAAACTATTGTCGTTAGACTGATCATCGAATTATCCACCGTTTGCCCTGAAGAGTTACCGTACTTGTAGTCGCGTGTCACTTGGTGCGAAGACACCGACTCGTCAAGACACAGCCCGCCAGTGCACTGCCATTGAAACGAGCGATGTCAACAACACGGGGGCTAAGTGAGAGGGACACAGTTACGAGCTTTGGGTAATGGTTTTGAGTTTCTGCGCCCCCTCTCAAATGGCAAAACATCACGCGGTTTCAATGCGGTTTTCAACATTATAACCATAATCATAATGCTCAGGGGGATCACGTGGCTAAGTGGGTAAGACGCTGGCTCGCTAGCCTGGAGGTCGGGTCTTCGATCCCGACATTGGCCGAGAAAGTTCATCCAGATTTTCCAGCGTGGTTTCCCCGTGTCAGTGATGCAGGACGGAGGGCCTGACAAGGACAGATGTCTAGTCGTTCGGATGGGACGAAAAACCGAGGTCCCGTGTACGCATTGGCGTGCACGTAAAAGATCCCTTGGCAATTGGAATTCGATATAAGAGTAGGCAGTAGTGCCGCTGCCCGGGCAGAATTTCCCTCATAGCACACTGTATGGCGTCTGCCCGTCTTTATTAGCCCAGTTTAGGAGCAGAACAGTAGGACGTTAAACCCCATTTCATTTCATTTCATAATGCTGAAACCGTGTGAAAGATATATCGTGGGTCAGATATGCTACAATTCGACTCTAGTATGTTCCATACAGCCCAATATTACCTGGTGGCACCGGTAGGGACTACCACCCCACCCCACCCCTCCCTCGCATACACATATAAATATTGTTTTGGAGGGCCTTGACGGGATCTTGTTCCTCATGCAAAATCATGGGTCACCACGCCCCAAAATCAATAGGGATGTAGGAGCGGCCGTGTTAATTGATGTAATAAAGAAGAACGGTGAAAACGGTACGCCCGCGAAGGAAATAAAGAAGGGGTAGAACATAGAACCTTTGTCATTGGTAGAGATAAAAAGAAGGAAAGCTGAGGAGTTTAAGGTATATCTTGTTTGGGGTAATACTAGTGAATGGTTGGTATTATTTCAGGATGTTTGGCACAGTAGGTACTATGTTCTCTGGGTTGTGGCAAGCAATAAAATAAGGGTGGATGGCGGGTCAGTCGGATGTATAGCTGTGAGTTAAGTAGGTGAAGTGGATATAAGTTTCGAGGCAATACTAGATATAAATAATTTTAAATCAACAGGCGTGCGGGGGGGGGGGGGATTTCATTTTGTTAGGCATTTGATAGAGGGGCTTTCTTTTATAAAAGGACAAACTTACGGACCAATCGCCTTAGTGGCTTTTAAATGGTAAAGTTGTGGCTAGATTAAGGTGTCTTTTCTATTACTTTACTTCAGAAAGTTGAATGTAAATTCAAAAGCCTTGCATTTCCTATTTTTTTAAAAAAAAAAAGCCGTGTTTAAGGGAACAGGGTTTGTTCAATGACGTGTTCTCTGCTCAAGGGAAGCTATCCTAAAGACCATTTGTCCCGCGACGGTCGCAGGGTTTGATTGTGAGAGCATTTTATATGTCCCTACTTATGTAGTCTTGAGTATTGTAACCAAGTCTCTTTTAGGTCTTCTTAAATCGAGTTCAAGTAACTTCTATACACTTTATTAAGCCTCGATTAATGAATTACTTTACAATAGTTGGGGTCTAGAACAATGGTTGGGTTGTAAAGAATTTCACCAAGGACCAGTAGGGGACCCCTCTATTGTTAAGATTTCAGTATCTGTTTAATTCAACAAGGAATATATAGAAAACATATGGAGTAAACCGCTTTGTTAATCAAATGATAATCCGCCCCATTGCATTGACATCTAAGAAGACCAAAAAAAAATACATTGTTTCACATGCTGGAGATATCGGGTACTCGCTTCTACAACAATTGTGACCGGTTTGTACCTTCAAATATTACAAGAATCTGCTGGAATGGTTCTTCAATCTTTAATACTGCATACAATTATGGGACCGCGGATAACCGACTAGAACCTAATATGTCGGGTGGATTTAAAAGACTCATCTAATCAATAGGTTGGACATAAACAATCATTGATGTAATAGTTTACAATATCAGAAATACAAAAAAAAATGGCAAAAAAAAAACAATTTATAAACTAGATCTGCATAGCAGATATGAAAGCTTTCATATTAACTGCAAAGGGGGTTATTAGAATCTATTGAAACAATAAGTATAAATGTCATCAGGTATCTGAAAAATTACATTTACCTTATGAACAAAATGGGAAAAATACAAAACAAAAATTGTCGACTTGTGGCTACCATCCAAGGCATATTTAGAAAACCGTATATTATATTTATAGAGTACGCAGGACAGGAATTAGTTGTGCTTCAATGTAAACCGGCCCGTTTCTTGCCTTTAGTTTTAGAGTTAGGTGTGATATTCAAATGATTCAATTGGAAATCGCTGAAAATCAATTGGCTTCTTCATCTCATGACCTTAAACACTGTATAAATTTAAGGTCAATCGGATATTGAATTTAGCTTCTAGAGCGTCCACAAGATTTTTTAAAGTGATCAAGGGCAATAACTCTCACGGTAATTATCGGAAATGGCAGTAAATATCAGATATCGCTGAAAATCAATACTGTAGGCATCTTCGTGTCATGACCATAAATTTAGAGTCAATCGGATATTAACTTTGGCCTCTAGAGCGTCCACAAGATATTTTGAAGTGATCAGGGGCCACAACACTGCGCATAAATTTAAAGTCAATCGGATATTAACTTTGGCCTCTAGAGCGTCCACAAGATATTTTGAAGTGATCAGGGGCCACAACTCTGGCAGTAAATATCAGATATCGCTGAAAATCAATCGCCTACTTCGTCTCATGACCTTAACCACTGTGTATAAATTTAAAGTCAATCGGACATTAACTTTGGCCTCTAGAGCATCCACAAGAATATTTTTAAGTGATGAAGGGCCATAACTCTGACAGTAATTATCGGAAATCGCTGAAATTCAATTTCAATGT